GACAATAATTTGACTGTAGCTAAGCTACAATCAAATTCCTTCTCAATTTTAGAATACATAATTATGTGGGACCATAGGTTGGGAAGAGAAGAGAGGCCATACGCGGGAGAAAAACTATTTTTTTTTTAGAAAACCTCGACGGTATGAGAGAAATTTTATTGATAACAAAAAAGAAGTTACATCTAGTCAGGGGGAACATAAAACTTACCCTTCATAATACAAGAAAAAGAAGAAAAAGAACATGAAAAAGAAGGAGGAACATAAACCTTACTCCTCTATAAACAAAATGAAAAAAGGTACAAGGAAAAGAGGGGGTACATAAAATCTAACCCTCTAAAGCCAAACCTAAAAGGTCTAAGCCTACAAAACCAGTTGAGGAACACCACAAGGGTAGGAAAAAAAAAAGTGAGACAAATTTGTACGCCGAGATGCACATTAATTTGAGAGGAGGAAGCCAGGCAAACCAGCATAATCCAAAAACAAAACAGCACTAACTATTGGTCGAGGAGAATCATGCCATACCACAGTTGGAGAAAATAAACCCATATTTGCAAATTTTTCTGCGACAACATTTCCTTCCGATATATGTGAGAAGGGTAGAAAGTCATCTTTTTGAATGTGGTCCAAACAAATAGACCATTGTGTAGGAAGAGGCCGAGGATGATCAAAATCAATCGAATGGACAGTTACGCGAGAGAAAACCTTATTTTCATGAGTGGATGCACAGTTACATGATCTGATAAACGAATCCTAGAATTTGCATTTTTTGTTCTTTAAAATTGGTTTAACATTTTTCTATAGTGAGATTTTTATTTTTCAAAAATCACTTACAATTGACTAAATTTGGGAAAGAAAATTCAAACTCAAGTGGAAAAGCATTATATAATTACTTTCAACAATAATTTCAAGCTGCAGAATCAATTGAATGCAGTACCAAGATTAGCAACCAATACTCATTGGCATCGATATCTCACTAAATAACTCACTACCCACGCCAAATGTCAAAATAAATGATCATACGTTTGGAGATGGGACTAGCATTATAAATGATCATAGTACTGCAGGCCAATGCGAGCCCCATAAAAAAAAAACGTGAGCTGAAATCCCTATGTTTGGAGATGGGACTAGCATTATATTTAATTGTCACTAATGCACCACACGAACTCTACAAATGAATTACTCAATCATTACAAATCTATTTTCCTAAAACACTACAAAAATGCAATACAAAACGCTAATCGTACAGCCATAGAACTTGAATGTTCTTTTAAGTGTGTGTTTGGACGAAGTACTTTGAAGTTCGAAGGAACTTTACTTCTCAGTGGTGGTATTAAGTGAGGGGAGTGGCAAAGTGATTTGTTTGGCTAAAATATGGGGGTTGAGCTATGGAACTTGTAACCTACATGTAGGTTTTATTAATCACATTCAATAGCATATATGAAAACAACTGTTCAAAAATAGAAATGATCACATGATCGTGTGCTATTTTTACATCAAACACCATGTATCTAGCTAGGCATACTTTGGAAGCTTCTTTCCTGCGCCCGTCTCTGTGATTCTTGGAGGAGCATTGTAGTGTAGTGTGTATTTTTTCAACGTAAGAGATGAGGAACATAAGGAGTCAAGGACAAACAATTGAGGTCTTTGTATCTTTTATGTTTTTTTTTTTATTGTTTTTTTTTATTTTTTAATTCGATTTTCAAACCCATCAACTTCTTCCGAATCACAAGGGACATTTAGATCTAGGTACAAAAACATTCTACTTTTGAATTGAGTCCAATTCCATGTTCTTATCAATTTAGGTTTAGTTGATCTTTTCTTATTCCAGTTTTGCTCTTTATAATAAAAATGAAAATATATTTACATTTTATCCATCATTTACTCAAATTTAAACTTTAAAATCTTTAAATGTCTTGAATTTACCCAGTGCCTAAGAATTACATTGCAAAGAGATTGTTCTACTACTAGAACCCTTGGCATTTTGGTTCAGTGACCTTTCGGTCATAACATATGCATGAGTGCAAAATCACAACTTAAGTGAACTAAAAAACATTTAAAAATCACAAACAAAAATAATAAAACTTTTTGATGTAGGTCGGTAATTCAATTCATCTGTGATATAAGTAGATTGGATAGTGAAGGTACAACTAACTAAAATTTTGAATAATCAAAGAGAGATTATATTTACACACCCTAAATTACTTCTCTCACAACTTTTTAATTTTTTGAATATTTTCTACACACCACTAGTACACTTGATAGAAAAATATTAAAAAATTAAAAGGGTGTGAAAGAAGTAATTTGAGGTGTGTGAATATAATCTCCAAAATCAAATTGTCGCATTTGTTTCAATAAACAGAGAATAGATATGGGCTCAGAACATTGAAAATGCCTCAATTTCCAAAATCTAGGTCACTTTAATTTCCCACGCGTCGTAGTGCACGTATTGGTTTTCAACGAATAGAAACCTAGTTTTCCAACTAATTCCAAATCCTACCAAGTTTTACAGCCTTTTATACTACTACTAGGTTTAAAAGTGGACGGACGACGACCAATTTTGTCAGTAAAGAGTGCTCACTTTCAAGGCTTGTAACTTCTTCGTTTAATTTCAATTTGCGAACGAATTTTTGTTTAAACACTCATGAATCAAGTTTTATCCATCTATTCTATACCCATCTCCAAACACCAAAGTAATTTTTAAAATGACCAAAATGCCCTTGAAAACATTTTTCCAAAACTGTAAAATAAATAAATAATAATTTTGAGACGGGATATCACACTCATCTTGTTTCTCCTTCACTTTTATGCTTCTTTATGTCCCTTGAACTTTCACCTTAATTTTCAATTTGTCCTTATACTATTTATTATTATTATTATTATTATTATTGTTAATCGATAGATTTGTTAGATTGAATGTTAGATTAAAGAGTCGACGGGATTCGAACCCAAATCGAGGTGCAAGGGCAACATTCCTTTCCTTCACTATGGTAGAGGGCTAGTTGCTCTAAACATTTGTTAATTGAGGTCCATGAGTTTAACAAAATGTGCACTATTGATATTCTCCACCGTCAACTTATGTAAAACAAATATATGTATGTATGTATACGTACTATTAATCTAATGATGTGACATATATGTGAGTCCTGCATATCCATTCTAACTAAGTTTTTAGGGACCAAAACTAAACTACGATGAAAATTCAGAAACTATGCATTTGTTTAATATACAATATATATATATATATATATGTGTGTGTACTATTAATCTAATGATGTGACACATATGAGTCCTCCATATCCAAACATTGTGTGTATATATATGTACTATTAATCTAATGATGTGACACATGTGAGTTCTCCATATCCAATCTAACTATGTTTTTAGGGACCAAAACTAAACTATGGTGAAAATTTAGAAACTATGCATTTGTTTAATATATGACCTTTGGTTTGTATATATATGGGTACGTTTGTTTTTATAAAGAGACATGCATTTAGTTTTAAACATATACCAATGAGTTTTAGGTATGTTTTTTTTAAACAATTATTACGTGCGTTTGTGTTTTTGTGGTACGTCTGATTTTAAACGTATCAATATCATTGTTCTAAAAATCTCTGCCTAATGTTGTTTAGGTCTCACCTAGGCGTTTGACAGCTGGTCAACATTCCGATTAATGCCTAGGCGTTTGAAAATTAAAAAAGGGCGCCTAGACCTATTGAGGCGCCCACCTAGACTGCCTAGCTCGCCCAGACCTGCCTAGACACTTGTTTAGGTTGCGACTCACTTAGATAGAAAATAGATAACTTTCCTTTTGCAATTTATTATTTCCAATAAATTGTAAGAGACTTATTGAACACTTAAAATAAACACACATTATATGTTTGCTCCCCATGTTTTCATTATGTTCCAATATTTCATAATATATATGTCATTATATTTTCTAGTTTATAATGAAATTATATATATTTTAAGTATAAATAGACACTTATTTACACGAAATACAATAGATTTACTTAAATCTGCCTAGGCGTTAGACCCATCGCCTAACTAGCGCGTAGCGTCTTTTAGAACCTTGATCAATACGCTTTAGGTATATTTTGTTTTAGATGGGGCCATTTTGGTTTCCAATGTACATAAGATATAGTTTTGCTAAAAACTATTTTATCATTTTAGTCTAATTTTAGTTTATATTCATTAAAAGGAAGAAAAAACACTAGTACACATTAGTGCTGATGCTTTTTTTTTTTTTTTTTTTTTCCTTTTCAAAAGGATACCATAGGAAATTTCATTTCATCAAAGAGTTGTAATACATCGTTTCATCCATAGCCTATTCCAAGGCCTTACACTCTCTTCTACAAGTAAGTCAGTAACTACACTTGGAGTAGGAGGAGAAATATTCCATTCACAGCTTTGCCTTAGAGAGAGAGAGAGAAACCAATCCGTACGAGTCGGTGGGCAACTGAGTTTGCATTGCGGCGAGTATTGTAACAATAGCAGCTTCAATGATTGAATGGAGTAGCGATTTGATGTCCTCCACAATTTGTCTAATTGATGAAAAATTGAGAGTAGGATCCCTCAACTCCTCCACAATCTAAAGGAAATCAGTCTCAAAATAAATCTTGAAAACCCCTATCAACTGCCCAAGCCAAACCCTCCCTGAAAGCCATAGCTTCCGACTGAAGAGGAGAGAAGATATCCTCAAAATTCCCACAATTTGCTGCCACGAACACCCCTAGCTCATCCTCAAAATTCATGGTAGTGGTTGTGCTTGTTGTATACGAAGGGGTCCATTAATATTTAAATCCTAAGAAACTATACAAGTTTGAATGATAACTTTGTCAGAATCCGCGACTAACACTAATATATCGTCTATTGTTTTCTTAACAAACATTTTTACTTTTATGTGTTATAATTTGAAGAAGTTGTCGTTTTTATCCTTCACTTATAGGAATGTCTATACATTGAATGTGCACAAAAACTCTACAAATAAATTGGCGACATTAGATAAAGTTAAACTTTATTTTGGATCCAAACTCATGATTTTGACATGTAACTTCTCTGATCCGGAAGAATTTAACCCTCCATATCCTTTTGCCAAATATAATAATGTTGCTAATTAGCATATGCAGTGCTGTAAACCCTTTTAGTGGTGCATAAATTGAGAATGCTCAAGAGCACCTTATTGCTAGTGCACCTAGGGGTCTTGAATTGGCTCAATGCCGATCCATTTCCTATGAAATATTCCAAAATTTTCTTGAACGTTCCCTTCTCCACAATCCGAAGCTCTAGAGGTCCAATCGAATTACTTCGCCTCGAGACAACGTAACCATGATCCACAAAAGATGCATCCATTTCTCTGCAACATTCACCAAGAACCCTCTCTTCAACTTCTCCTTTGATCTCCCAGTATATTATGTAGTGGCCTGGTTGGGTCAGCACATCAGCATGGCTTGTGAAGTCAATCAGTTCTGCTTTGGACTTGCTCAATAGTTGAGAGCCTCTCTCCACCACCATTTGAAGGTCCTTTTCAGTGTTTTTGTCTATGTTTACTGTCAATATAAGCTTTCTCCTGCATATAAAGTTCAATTTTGGAGTTCCATTGTGGAAACCTGCCACTTCCACCACATCTCCTAGCCTGTACCTATAAAGTCCTGAAAAATATAGATAGCAAAAATACAATATTATACAAAAAGCAATTTATAGAAAGCTAAATTTGAACTCAAATAAAAAGAGAACAAGCACAGTATCCTAATCAATTGAAATAATTAACGTACATTAACAAATTTCCAATCTTTTTAGAGATATAGACAAAAACAAAATTTTGCCTTTATTTCCATCTGATCAATACATGATGAAGATCCTACTAGGGATCTAGAATTCGCAATGTGGTTTGAAAAAAATGGTTTAAAATATTAGTCTATGTAGCATTTTTCTTTTGACCATGATATTGTGGACTTAATTTTGTCCACGTACCCTATAAGTTTATAAGTGCCTAATTTTTCCAAATTGCAACTTGTGGCCCACGTGTCAAGGGAAGGGGACCAGATTTTTTCATGATTGCCGCTGATATTTAAATAGTCGACAGTCCACATGCTTTGGTTTGTTGTGGGAAGGCATGTACCAATGATCGATGCTTAAACATGTCCAATTTAAGGCTCTAAAGTGATTTTGTTATAGAGTTTACCCAAAAAAAAAAAAAAAAGGATTTTGTTATAGAATGACAAGTCACCACTTTTAAAGAGTATTTTGATAATTCAATTTTTCGCACGTGACTATTTTTGTTGGAACAACAGGTTGAGTTAGACTATTAACGATGTTAAAGAAAAATTCATGCAAACCTAAAATGTACATGCTTCGACTTGGGTATTAGGGTTTTACTATGTAGAATTAGACTATACAAAATAATTTATGGACACCAGTATGTATTTTTGTCACTTAATTTTTTTTACCGTTTTTGTAAGAAAAAGAAAAGAATGTGAGAAACATAGAAAAACATCAGTGATTACTTACCAGTGAAAGTAGTGAGGACAATCTCGTACTCTTGTCCAACCTTGACTTGTGACATTGGTACTGGTTTATCTTCTATGAAATCATCAATGACCAAATTGTAATCTTGCTTCTGTCTATGAAGTGGTATGAACTCAAAGTAGGAAAAAGTTGGCACCACTGCAAATGTCACCTCCTCCGGAGGCAAACAGGGATCCACATTCACTCCAATCCAACTCTCAGTTGATCCATATTCTGCACTTACTAGCGGCACTTCCGCTGCATATCGCCGGAGTTTTTTCAAATACGGCTGCATTGATCCTGTCATTATAGAGTACACATACTTGGCGTTGGGCCAAAGCTTGGGAATCAGACCAAACCAATCCAAATCCTCCAACTCCTCGCAACAAGCTTCAATTTTCGAAGCCAGAATTGGGTTTGGGGAGATGATATCCAAGACCGCTTTTCGCACTTTGGGGAGATTGATTCGTTTACTAAGAGTGCCGTCTCGTATGTCAATGCACAACTCCTTCCAGAGCTCTTCGAAGGCGATAAAGGACTGCACTATGCTGTACGCAAAGGTGGAGGTTATGAACTCTACTTGTTCGGAGAAGAAGAGGCCGAGGAGAAGGTGACAATATGTTGATTGCTTGCTGTCACCGCTCGAAATGACCTCTTCGGGGCTGCAAGTGAATGACTTGGTTTTTTCCTGTTTAATTTTGAATTCCGGGCTGGCGTAGTAGTGAGTTGTGGCTGTTCCTGCTGTTAATCCTCCCTTGGTTTTGAATTGTCTACTGCTGTATATGAATTCCAAGATCCTCCCTCCTCCTCTCGTCGGATAAACCCTACGATTAAGACGAAGAAAGTAAAATAATAATAAGGGATTTTGTTATAGAATGACAAGTTGCCACTTTTAAAGAGTATTTTGATAATTCAATTTTTCTCACGTGATTATCTTTGTTAGAACAACAAGTTGAGTTAAACTATTAATGATGTTAAAGAAAAATTCATGCAAACCTAAAATATACATGCTTCGACTTGGGTATTAGTGTTTTACTATGTAGAATTAGACTATACGAAATAATTTATGGACACCGATATGTATTTTTGTCACTTGATTTTTTTTACGGGTTTGTGTAAGAAAAAGAAAAGAATGTGAGAAACATAGAAAAACACCAGTGATTACTTACCAGTGAAAGTAGTGAGGACAATCTCATACTCTTGTCCAACCTTGACTTGTGACATTGGTACTGGTTTATCTTCTATGAAATCATCAATGACCAAATTGTAATCTTGCTTCTGTCTATGAAGTGGTATGAACTCAAAGTAGGAAAAAGTTGGCACCACTGCAAATGTCACCTCCTCCGGAGGCAAACAGGGATCCACATTCACTCCAATCCAACTCTCAGTTGATCCATATTCTGCACTTACTAGCGGCACTTCCGCTGCATATCGCCGGAGTTTTTTCAAATACGGCTGCATTGATCCTGTCATTATAGAGTACACATACTTGGCGTTGGGCCAAAGCTTGGGAATCAGACCAAACCAATCCAAATCCTCCAACTCCTCGCAACAAGCTTCAATTTTCGAAGCCAGAATTGGGTTTGGGGAGATGATATCCAAGACCGCTTTTCGCACTTTGGGGAGATTGATTCGTTTACTAAGAGTGCCGTCTCGTATGTCAATGCACAACTCCTTCCAGAGCTCTTCGAAGGCGATAAGGGACTGCACTATGCTGTACGCAAAGGTCGAGGTTATGAACTCTACTTGTTCGGAGAAGAAGAGGCCGAGGAGAAGGTGACAATATGTTGATTGCTTGCTGTCACCGCTCGAAATGACCTCTTCGGGGCTGCAAGTGAATGACTTGGTTTTTTCCTGTTTAATTTTGAATTCCGGGCTGGCGTAGTAGTGAGTTGTGGCTGTTCCTGCTGTTAATCCTCCCTTGGTTTTGAATTGTCTACTGCTGTATATGAATTCCAAGATCCTCCCTCCTCCTCTCGTCGGATAAACCCTACGATTAAGACGAAGAAAGTAAAATTACAGAGCCACGGTTAAACAAGTTTAAATGAATACATTTGGAATATTATTCTAACTAGTGCTGTTGACATATAATTGTAAATATAAAGGTTCATAACTTCATATAAATATGAAAAGCTGTAAAAATAGCTACCTACATATAAGACAGTCTAATGAATTCGAATACTGGACTGAAATTTAAGAGAGAAAGTTTAAACCTTGATCTATAAGCTGCAGCCAGCCTAAAAATTTGAAGAGTGGTCTGTGAACTGTGGCGCATAAACGGTACGTACTTTTGTCTTCCTTCTGTGGTTCCAGAACTAGAGAAAATGTAACCAAAGGAGACCATTAGACCCTTCTACAAAGTGTGAACATATACAGCTAATGGTTTTATTCCTTGAATCCAATAGAACAAAAAAAATTCTAGTTTATTCTAGAAATATTCTAATTTGATCCAAACTAGGTGGATAGATATTCGGACTTGGAAAATAAAGTATATTTACAAGGAATAATTGAAACACATCTCAACTTTTATGAATATAATTAAGAAGCTAACCTTAAGGAGAGAGTAGTTATAGGTTGTTTTGTGAGAATGGGGCCTGATTCCCCATTTGCAATTCTATGAATGTAAGGCTCTAAATCTGCATGTGAAGCAAGAGGCACCAAAGAAGTGTAGAGTGATTCCAACAGACACGCATCTACCTCTTGGATTTCGATGTCCCCCAACCATTTCTTGAGATATTCCACTTCGAAATTCAGTTCAAGTATCCGCCGGAGCGTCTGCGTTTGAACTGAACCTGCCTTCTCCGTCACGTCCTCAAACCACCTAACGATATCGTCTTCTCCACACACAGATGGTTCCATTGGAGAAGTTTTTGTGGCTGCTGGGTTTTCAGAAGAGGAAATAATGCATAAAAAAATAATAACAAAGAACAAAGTCGTTACAGCTTACAATTTTTAGTGGGGGCATACTAAATTTGTAGCATGTAGTGTATGATTATATAGTCCACAACATATATTCAGAAATAACCACAATATATATTCAAAAATCAACCAATCTATCCATGAAACCTGTCGTTTATTCAAAAATTTAACCAACCTTCTAATGTTGGTTGCACAACTCTCTCTCTCTCTCTCTCTCTCTCTCTCTCTCTCTACTCCATCGATCTTAGAATTGTACGATGGTTTGTAAACCACAAGGCATACAGAGTGTCATCCTTTTCAGGAGAGGGAGAGAGAGAGAGAGAGAGAGAGAGAGAGATTTTTGAACGATAAGACATGAGGACAAGGGTTGCAGGGGACCAAGTCAATCAGCAAAATTGACAGCTTGGCTTACAGCACCATGCTCTAGCTATTTTCCCTTCTGTTAAAAGGATTTTATGACATTGTGGCACAGATGTAGGTGGACACTAAATCAATTATTTCGCAGCGAATATATCATTATGTGAGTGTTTTAGTTATAAGATAATGAGTGAGACATTGCACTAATATGGAGATATATAACGATGATATTGAAGATTTTCTACAATATGACATGAGGATAAACGATGAACACCCTGCCTAACTACCATGACAACTCCATTGATCAAATCTACAAGTCACTTAAATCTATTATAGTCATAGTTTAATGTCACTCAAACAAGTATATATTATCAAATCTAGGGTTTAGGGTTCCCTTCTCGACTAGCTAGTCGACAACCCACAATTACTAGGATAGAAGATCAAGACAATGCAATTTAAAATCATGGAACGGAAAATAGTTATATTCACACATCTAGTTTATTTCTTATTCTTCTTTAAATTATCCACGGAAGACTAGAACATCAAAAATTGATAAGCATGAAAATCGTACTCTCATTAGAGTATACTTAGGATCCCAATCTTTTTTTCATTATATTCTTCAATTATCGTTTGATTTGTCCATCCAAAAACTAGAAATACAAAATAAAATAGTGAATTTTAACGAAAAGTCCGTGGTATTATTCATTTTAATGAAAAACCACATTTTTACACTAAAAAGTCAAACATGGTACTATTTACTTTACCATTTATTTTGTCCTTATCATTAAATCTCAAAGTTTTCAAGTTATTTTCATTAGTTTTCCTAATAAAATAACAATAATGGAGAAATAACAAATTGGAAATACAAACACTTCCCGCATTAGTGCAGATTATGGTGTAGTGTCCCACATTTCTTGGTGGATAATCCACAACTGTTGTGGTTAAAGCTTCAATTCTCGGTTGGTCCCTGCCTCCTAAATGTGCTTAGTGCTTAGGACCGTTTATATCTTCATCAACATACACAAATTAATTTTGTAGCTTCATTTTCTCCATGTCACATCACTATTTGTGGTCATGTGTACACCCGTTAAAGCCTGATGCAATTGATATAGTCCAGAAGATATATTATTTTTGAAGAATTTAGTTGTGATGAATTTAATCAAGCATCTGAGTGTCAGTTTAGGAGCCACTCAATCAGAAGCTATAAATCCTTTTTCAGATAATGTGGGGTTTCAATTTTGCTCGAAAGAAATTTCTGTAAGATCACTCAAATCGAGTTATCTATAAAATCATTCTCACAAAAATAAACCTCATTTGACTTCCGAATAGTTTCACTTGATATAATAATAAACCCAATGATTAATTAAAAAGTGTTAATGAACTTTGATTAGTTGATAAAATCTCTTGATGTAATACTCTGCCTAAAGTCGCTTTGTGATTTAACATGTGATGTTTACCTTTGTTCCCTCTCACTTTTATCTCTTCGTTTACGATTTGGCTCAAAGCATATTGCTTTTAGCTTTGCTGTAATCTGGCTTCCCCAACCCTATTAAGGGTCTTATCATGTTATAATTACAAATCATTAGTAATTAAGTAGAGCAATAGAGTGATTTGTTCTAAATTCCCGCTTATAACATGTATGTGAAATCATCTTGTATCAGTAGATATAGTTAGGACCAATTCATACGAAAGAACATTACGCAAACTCGTGCAAGAACAAAAGGACAAGTTCTTCAATCTCAACTAGTTTTCTGCAAGAACATCATTAAGAATGAACAGATTTTAATATAATGACATTACTGATGGGAGAATCATCAATTAGATAGACGAAATTAACGTGACCATTTGTATGGCTGATATTATTCATTTGCAATTTGCCACTAGCTGGTGACTCACTTGTTGTATGCTACTGTCCAGAGATGTCACTAGCAAGCACCGACTTTTATTTGTCCAAGAGTTGATACTTCATTTTGTTCCAAGGGAAAAGGGGCACTTTGTTCCAAGGGAAAAGGGGGTGGGTGCTACAAAGAGGATGACAGCGAAGAAGAAACAATATATTTGCCAATATGAAGAATCAGAACAGAAGATACAACAACAACAATAAAGTCTTATTCTACTATGTAGGGTCGATTGTATGAATCTTGGAACGCCACTGCGCTTGGCTTTGTGCCTTCCAATCAGAACAAAAGATAAAGCACATAAATGTACCTTATTACAGATGACATTAGTCAACAAAAAAATGGACTACGAGTTCAGCTCCATTCTATGTTGTATGTGAATCCCTCTGCATTGCAAAACCCGAAAGTTCTAACACTGCAAAGTTTTTCAGTTAGCAGTTTAATCACATTTGGTGCAAGAAAACAGCAGGGAAAAACAAAAAATACAAAAAAAACAGAAAAAAAAAATTTGAAAAGGATTCAAACCAGATGACCAAAATTATAAGAGAGTAATATTTTCTCCCCTCCTATTCTCATCTCCTTCCCTCCCCTCTTCTTACACATTATTTTTTGTGTTATTGTCTCTATAAAAAAATAATATAAGATATTAACGTAGTTTAATCGTGACCGTTCAAATAGGAAAAAAGGGAATAAGAGAGATATTAGGAGAGGAAAAAAATACTCCTTCAATTCAAAGGACATCAAGATAAAAAGCCACGTTCAAACAACAAAGGACAATTGCACAAAGTAGAGGCTTAGAAAGAGAAGCATCTTTGCAAATGATGAAAGTAACCGCTAATACGAGTAGGGTATATACCAGACTTTGGCCTATAAGAATCTCTACACTGCCTTCAACTTGCTCTCGGGGACCCATCCTTTATCCCGGTTTCATCAAAGCATCAGTGTAGACTGTAGATGCTCACTGTGGCCTAGCCACAAAAATATCCGGGCTGAAGGTTTGATTTTGACAGGGATTCAAAGGGGACACACAGATTGATAACTGTACTCCTTGGGGTATGGGCCTTCACCTGCAGGAGCAATAAGTCTCATAACTTCAGTACAGTTGCAACTTGCAATACAAACTAGCCTTCTCTTTCACTAGTTCAAAATGGATGGTGACTTTGCATTTTTTGAGTTTTCTGTTATCCATTGTTCTTTACTAGTTCAAAACGGATGATAACGGAAAAGCGATTAACTATAAAATACCCATGCACAAATATGAAGGTTCCATACACTTACTCCTACACTAAGCCGAATGGGAACCTTCATATTTGTGCATTTTTTAAGCTTGAAGATTTCTAGCACTAGCAGTAAAAGCGATTAACTATCAAATACCCTGAAAATGAAATGGCACCAAGGCGGAATGAACACCACGACAAGAAATTAATTTGGAAGTATAATTCTTAGAATAGGTAGAACTTAGGAAGCAATATAATTCTTATAATTCTTGGAAATATATTACTCAGTTGAGTTGCTTTTTCAAGAGTTTATACTATCCCCGTCTGGTTGAATCTTCACTCTGCAATTTTATTATTTAAGAAACCTTGAAGAGCTAAAGTTTCTAACAGTCATTGATGGAACGTTGAAAATCACCTACAATTCTTCTTCTTTTTTAACTTTCTCGGGTGGGTGGATGGTAGACCCCCGTGAGGAGGAGGATAACAACTCGATTCATTATTTACCCTGTCGAATATGCAGGTCAATATTAGGTCATTTTAACCTTTGATTCCCTCCAGAGTCCAGACTAAAGCTACCTAAGGACCAATCCGAAGTTCTTGAATATGACAGTTTTTACCAATTAATAGTTTGACATATTACTAAGCTACTTCTCTTCAAAATGTCGAAGGAGGTTCCAAGTTCAATTTTCCCCCTCGCCCTTGATCAAAAAGGAAAAAGGATTAGATTTTTCCTGCAAAATTTTTATTAGGGTGAACTGTCAATTTAAGTTCTGAATTATCATCTCGGTGAAAATTATGTCTTTAAACTATTTTTTTTCTTCAGAAAAATCAGCCCTTGAATTATAAAAATTTGCCAATTACATCTCTAACATTATATTCGAAGCTACTATATATATTCAATTTTCCGTCAATTTAAGTCGCATTACTTGCATGTAATACACATTGAAGGATAGATTGGTAGTTTTTCATAAAGAAATAGTGTTAATTAACTTCGGAGGGTAAATTAGAAGTTAGATTCGCAACCTATATGAAATGTTAAGGGCTTATAGGTTAGAAAATGACAGTATTATACTCTAAAGTGTGTTAAGTGACTTAAGTTACGAAAAATTGAATAAAATAACTTTGTATATAATAGTAGGGATAAATTAGAAATCTTCACTCTGCAATAAATCGAATGGTATAATATACGAGGATTGGAGAATGAACATCAATTCTACATCTTTTGATGGTAAGCGAAATCTGGTGCCATCTTTGAATTAGCTAAACAAAGTTTCTTAGAAATACAGATTTATTAAGACTTAAACTGTAAAAGAGAATTCGGAACTCCACTCGCCTTTTGAGGCTACCCATTCGGTCATACCCAATACCTATCTTACTATGCATCAACTTCATAGCTAAATCTGCATTGCCAGCTTTCCTCAAGGCATTGATTAGAACAGTTCGGATTCGTCCTGGTATTTCCCTACCTGTGTCCACAATTCCATCGGCCAAGTTGCAAGCTTCCTTGACACGACCAGCTTTGGATAACACATTGATCATATCTTCAAAAGCTGTCTCAGGAATTACACCCATTGGCGCTAGCTCATCCAAAATCTTGCAGGCTCTGGCTACCTTGCCTGAGAGACAAACCCAAATAGAGAGGGCCCTGAAGGAAGCAACATTCGGTGTGATGCTCTTATCAATCATCGTGTGCCAGGGCTTCAATGCCTCTTCATTTCTGTGCCCTTAAAATGTCCGCTGATGAGTATTGGGTATGTATAAACCATCTGATCACAACCTTCCTCTTCCATTTTCTTAAAGAGTGCCAATGCTTCATCAGTTTTTCCACATTTAGCTAGGGCGTCGATAAGGGCATAATGGGCATTATAGCAATATGAATCATGTGGACATCCCTTCACCACCATCTTATCAAAGAGCCTTTCAGCCTCATCAAGCCTCCCTGCCTTTCCAAGACCGTCGATTAGACTAGGATAAAACATAGCGTTAATGTCGTCCCTCTGCCTTCACAAACTCAAAGTACTCCATTGCTTCCTCCACCCTCCCACTCTTACACAATCCATTGACAATAACCCCGTAAGTGACCTCATCTGGTTCAAGTCCCTCATTTTTTATGCTCTCAAAAAGTTTCATTGCCTCTTCAATGCTCCCACATTTCGCATACGAATCAATCAATGCTGTATAGTTTGCCACATTGGTTTTACATCCCTTCGAATCATATCTTCAAAAACAGCATATGCTTCCTCACATTTCCCTCCTCTGCAAAGCCGTTGATCACTAAACTATATGCATGAGACGGAATTTCAAGTCCTTTCTCGTCCATTTCTTGGTAAAGACCCAAACACGAATCAACATCTCCTTCTGAATAACACCCCTGTATTGAAGTCATATAAGTAATCTTATCAGGTTCCACATTCCTCCCCTCCATAGCTCTAAACTATTAGACCAAGTCAATCTTATCCCAAACTAAGCTCCGCAACAAACTCTTCATAGGATAAGATTGCTAGGTCAGATTTCAGTTTTGAATACTTCAAAGATAAGCTGTTGTGATTTTGTATTTTTGAATTCAAAGTTCTCCATGTAAATAGGGTTTTCAAAACCCTACTTGTAATCTGAAAGTATTGTATAAATAGACTGCGACCCATCATTATATGGGTGTGCAACTAAAGCTGAAAACCCTAGTGTTCTAAGTTTTTACATGGTATTGAGCCCTACAGTCTAACGACAGACGATCCAATTTTTTTCAACCCACTGTTGCTTCCATGGCTGACACCAACAACACCAACTCCACCACTCCCATCAATCCTTCCCCCCTACCCGCTGTTCATCCCTCCATCACCTCTATGACTAGTGTGGTTAATATCAAACTTGACCGCTCGAATTATCCGCTTTGGCTTGCTCAGATTTTGCCTGTTCTCAAGAGCCGTGACTTGATGGGTTACGTTGATGGCTCCATTGTGTGTCCTCCTAAGAATTTGGCTGGCTCCACTGCCGTTAACCCAGCCTACATGACTTGGATTCAACATGATCAGATGATTCTCAGTTGGATCAACAGCTCTCTCACTGTTTCTGTTTTGTCGACAGTAGCAAGCAAACGCACGTGCCGTGCAACCTGGGAAGCATTGGAACAACGGTATGCGTCAACTTCCCAGAATCGTATATTGTTTCTGCGTACAGAACTGCTGCAGACGAAGAAGGGTGACCTCTCTGTAGCTGACTACTTGGATCGTATGAATGCGATCGCTGACAACCTTGCTTTGGCTGGACAACCAGTAAGTGATGATGAACTGGTTCAAATTATTTTAAATAATCTTGGTCCTGCGTTCGAGATGACTGTGAATGCAGCACAAGCTCGTGATACTCCAATCACTTATCCAACACTTGAAGCTCTTCTGCTGACCACCGAGAGACGCATGACGGAGCAAGCTGTGCTGACTGAAACTGCTCCGATCAATGTTTTTGTAGCGTCACGAGGTCGTGGTGGTCGCTCTCGTGGCATTGGACGTGGAGGCTCTCCGTTCAATCGTGGTGGTGCCTTCAACAATGGCAATCAACGAGGTGGTCTTCCTCGCAACAACAACTATCAACGTGGTGGTGCGTCTGCAAGTAATGGTGACCGGTGCAACCTTTCTGGTGAACGCATCAAATGCCAAATTTGTGGCAAACCTGGCCATCCGGCTCTGGACTGTTACCAGCGGATGAATACAGCGTATGAAGGACGCATTCCCACCAATCGTCTTGCTGCCATGGCATCTTCTCAAGTGATGCCTACTAATGGAAATTGGCTTCTTGACACGGGTGCCAATGCTCATGTCACCCCAGACCTTCAGAATATTGCAAATCCAAAAGAATACACTGGTAATGAAAACATTGGTGGAGTAGGTAATGGTTCTCAACTTTCCATTGCACATTCTGGTTCGAATCAAATTTCAACTAAGTCTTGCTCATTTAACCTCCATGACATTTTACATTGTCCATCCGCATCCACTAATATCATTTCAGCACACAAATTCACCCTAGATAACCATTGCTACATACTAATATTTCCTTATTTCTTCCTTGTTAAGGACCTCAAAACACGGAAGACGCTTTTCCGCGGGAGATGTGAGAATGGATTGTATCCATTTCCTAGTGGTAGTGGATTGTCCAACTATCCTCTTTCAGTGTGTGTCGGTGTTAGAGTCTCGCCTCAGAAATGGCATTTACGTCTTGGTCACCCTGCTTCGTCAATTATTAAATTTTTGATTGCAAATAACCAAGTACCATCATCTGGTACAAGTACTGTAACGTTTTGTGACTCTTGTCCATTAGGCAAAAGCACTAAACTTCCATTTAGCAAGTCTGTGTCCGTGTCTTCTTGTCCCTTAGAACTGTTGCATTCTGATGTGTGGAGTTCCCCTATTATTTCTAAAGAAGGTTTTCGTTATTACTTGTTGTTTGTAGATGACTACTCACGCTATTCGTGGATCTTTCCAATGAAAAATAAATCTGAAGTGTTTGGAATTTTTGTGACATTTAAAACACATGTTGAAAAAATGTTTAATAAGTCTATTAAAGCCCTTCAATGTGACGAAGGTGGTGAATACATGAGTCATGCTTTCAAAAAAATTCTTGCTACACATGGGGTTTTCCAACATTTTTCGTGTCCAAAACATCCTGAACAAAATGGACTTGTCGAACGAAAGCATCGTCATATAGTTGAAACAAGTGTTACAATGCTTTCTCATGCTCATATGCCTCAAACATTTTGGTTTGATGCATGTTCCACAGCTGTTTAATTATCAACAGGCTTCCAACAAAGGTTTTATCTAACGTGTCTCCCTATGAAACATTGTTTCAAAAGAATCCAAAATATGAGGCATTTAAAGTGTTTGGTTCAAAATGTTTTCCATTGTTGACTCCTTATACACGGCATAAACTTCAACCCAAATCCAAACCATGTGTTTTCTTAGGATACTCATTGAATCATGAAGGCTACAAGTGCTTGGACTTATCCACGAGACGCATTTACGTGTCTCGCCATGTTTTATTTGATGAGGATTCCTTTCCTTTCAAGGAACTTGCATCTCCCAAGGAAGACGTCATTATCACAGGTACACCTTTCAACCCTAATTTGATTTTAACCACAACACCCTCATCTACTTTGGTACCTTCCATATCTTCACCCAATCTTGTCGAATCTCACCCTAGCCTCAACCACCAGCCTGAGTCAAACTTAGTGTCTAGTGACCAGCCGCATATCACGCCACCTTTTCCTCCGCAACAAACTGTTTCAGATTTGGACCTTAATCCTAATGCACCTATCCCTACCAGGACACCTCAACCTAGTTCCACATTAGGTCCCACCCATGAGCAAGACTTGGTTCACATTCCATCCGTACAAAGTACTCAGAATCCTTCTCCTTCATCAATTTTCTCTACCACGTCATCTTCCATTCGAGAGACTCATCTTCCCCACTCAATAACAACACGGTCAAAATCTGGGATTCAAAAGCCAAATCCAAAATACGCTTTGCATGCAATCACTGACTCCACGTTTGTTGAGCCGTCTTGTTTTAGTCAGGCTATTAAATATCCACAATGGAGGGCAGCAATGGCACAAGAGTTCAGTGCTTTGCAAAGGTGTGGAACGTGGACGCTTGTTCCTTATTGTCCTGGAATGAACCTGCTGCCAAACAAATGGGTGTTTAAAATCAAGCGACGTGCAGATGGTTCTCTTGAACGTCACAAGGCTCGACTTATGGCTAACGGTTACCATCAGCAATCCGGAGTGGATTATAATGAAACATTTAGTCCAGTCGTGAAACACAGCACCATTCAACTTGTTTTGAGTCTTGCCATGTCGAAGAAGTGGACGGTGCGACAGTTGGATGTACAGAATGCGTTCTTGCATGGCTATTTGGATGAGGATGTGTACATGAAACAGCCGCCTGGTTTTCTTGATCAACAATATCCTAATTATGTGTGTAAGTTGCAAAGAAGTTTGTATGGATTAAAACAGGCTCCCAGAGCCTGGTTTCGAAGATTCTCGAATTATCTGCTTCAACTTGGGTTTGAAGAATCATTATGTGATTATTCCTTGTTCGTGTTTAATCAACGAGGGGTTTACTTGATCTTACTTATCTATGTGGATGACATCCTTCTTACAGGCAATAATGATAAACAAATGCAATGGTTGATAGAGAAGCTCGGCACTTTGTTTTCTATGAAGGACTTAGGTCCTTTAAGTTATTTTTTGGGTGTCGAGGTTACTTATTCTGGGGAGAATATGCATCTTACACAGTCCAAGTATGCGTTGGATCTGTTGGAGCGCACCAAGTTTACTGCTGTAAAACCAGTATCCACTCCTGTACCTGCGGGACAAAAGCTCAGCCAGTATGATGGTGAACCTTATTCTCATCCAGAAGAATATCGAACGGTTGTTGGAGCATTACAATACTTGACGATCACTAGACCCGATCTGTCTTATGCTGTGAACCAGGTTTGCCAGTTTATGCATATGCCTCGGACTACACATTGGATGGCGGTTAAGAGGATTTTGAGGTATTTAAAGGCCACACATGATCACGGTCTTGTCTACAAACCTGGTGATGTTCGGTTGAATGCTTTTTCTGATGCTGATTATGCAGGAAATCCGGACACACGCCATTCAACTAGTGGCTTCTGTATCTATTTGGGCACGAATTTGATTTCCTGGAGTTCGAATAAACAGAAGACTGTCTCACGATCTAGCACAGAAGCTGAGTATAGGCAGCTTGCCTATACTGCAGCTGAGTTGTCATGGTTAGGAAGTTTGTTTCGAGATCTCCATCTCTATCTGCCACGGCCGCAGATATGGTGTGATAATGTTTCCTCCATTGCTTTGGCTTCCAATCCTGTTTTCCATGCACGGACGAAACACTTGGAAGTGGACTACCATTATGTACGAGAAAAGGTGGTGCGTGGACAGCTTTTGGTTCATTTTATTTGTTCCCAAGACCAGATTGCCGATTTTTTCACAAAGGGTCTCTCCTCTTCACGCTTCAACTTGTTAGTTTCCAAGCTTCCCGTCGTTGCTCGACCTGTCAGCTTGCGGGGGGATGTTAGACCAAGTCAATCTTATCCCAAACTAAGCTCCGCAACAAACTCTTCATAGGATAAGATTGCTAGGTCAGATTTCAGTTTTGAATACTTCAAAGATAAGCTGTTGTGATTTTGTATTTTTGAATTCAAAGTTCTCCATGTAAATAGGGTTTTCAAAACCCTACTTGTAATCTGAAAGTATTGTATAAATAGACTGCGACCCATCATTATATGGGTGTGCAACTAAAGCTGAAAACCCTAGTGTTCTAAGTTTTTACATAAACTTCTCCATTGCTTTCTGGGTTTTCCCTCCCTTACAATACCCTTTGATCATTGTATTATAAATCATAATGTCCGGTGCAATTTTCCCGCTCAGCTGATTCAATAAACATCGAATTCACCAAACCATTCAATAGAAAGTTATAAGCATACAAACTAGGCTCAATCCCAATCTTCTTCATTCTACGCCAAACCCACAACAGCTCATCAACCATCCCAAGACATCCAAAGCTTTTAATCAAAGATTTCGCTGCCCGAGAAGTCATCAAAAAGTTCATTTCTTTAAGCTTAACAAGAACGCATCGAATGCGGTCCAAATCAAAAGTTCAATCAAAGACTCATAGCATTCAAGCTTCTGATGATATTTCCTCTACCTACCAGCCCAACCAAAGAACCGCAATGCAGTTTTCCCACGAAGCTCAACAGATTTCAATACATACGAAACAAAATTAGGAGACAATTTGATCAAGAATGTGCGATAGTAAGAGTCTAAATTGGCCTCCATCGTTGGAGACCCATCTAAAAGATTGAGAATTTGAGCGACCAACCGAGATGGTTCGAAGTTTTGTGTGTTTGATACTACGTCAGTGACGTCATTGAAAGGTTCTACCCATTCCGGAGGAGGGAGAGAGTTGGTGAAAACCCACCTGGGATTTGTGCTGAAACTTGACGCCGAGTAAGAATTCGAAGCTTCTGATGAAGACCCGCCATTTTTGTACGGACGGGGAGGTCTTGCGGGAAGAATACGGGCTGCTGAGAGAGAAAGGGGAGGTCTCAGCAGGGTTCTTCTCGTCATGGTTTTCGGTGTTCTGTTCGCCTGTGTGCTTAGCGAGTGGAGCTGAAAGCCTGAAACGGTGAATGGTGAAGCTTGAAGTCGGAGTGTATATTAATATCCAGCTCAAAGATTATACTGGCAACGGTCCCATGGTCTAGTGGTTAGGACATTGGACTCTGAATCCAGTAACCCGAGTTCAAATCTCGGTGGGACCTTTTTACATTTGTAGCAGTGCAGTGCATTTTTCTTCTTTTTATTTTTTATTTTGGGTTGGTTGCTTACAGATATTTATTTGGGCTTTTTACTTCCTTTTATTTTTCAACCTTCAGGTATTCATAAGCCCAGTTACCGCGTGCTGGGCTTTGTTTCTGGTTGTTTACAAACTAATATAGGCTTATTTTTAGCTTTTCGATCCCACTTTGCCTCATAAAACTTAAAAGTCGCTACTTTGCTCTGTGTAATTCTTGATTTTGATCTCAATTTGTCCCCTAAAACTCAAAAGTCTCCACTTTGTTCCTGGAACTCGATTTCGATCTCGCTTTGCCCTTGAAACTCAATATTCACTCCACTTTAGTTTGTTTCTATTTATTCTGTTAAGTCTACTCATGTGACACAATTAAGGTCCACTTATGGCTGACGTGGCACAACTATAAAAGCTCACATATCCAATAAATTGGTGCGACATAGATTGACACAAAAAAATAAAATATATTTTCAAACATTGTATATTGAAAAAAGGAAAAGTAAGAAAAATAGCAAAAACAATTCCTGGATTTTATCTCTTTGACCCCTCTCTCTAATCATTGTCCATATATTCATCCCTTCCCCCTCCATCTTCGGCCACCTTTTTATTAGATTCATTGATTTCGTTATTTTTTATGTTTGTATGTTCTTAATGGAGGTGACTGGTCAAAAGAGAAGATGTTTTTTTTTTCCTTCTTTACTATTCATTTATTTCAAGGGAAAATTTAGCATATTATCAATTCTAAAGTTTAAATGGATGAACTTACTTTAAAAAATAGAAACAAGGTAATCTACAAAGAATTTTGAGTTTTAAGAAGTAAAATGACAAGTTTTGAGTTTCAATGAGTAAAATTGCGAGTTTTGAGTTTCAATGAGTAAAGTGAAATCAAAATCTAGTTTCAATGAGTAAAGTGTCGACTCTTGAGGTTAAGAGAGTAAAATGAAATCGAAATCGAGTTCCAATGCTCAAAATAAGCCAATAATATATGCATGGTTTTACTAACTTTTCGTCTTTCTTCGATTCTCACTCTGTTTCCTCAACTCTAGTTCTTATGTTTGATTGCCTCTTTTGATTGAAGGGGTTGGACAAGGAAGGAAAGATACTAAGATTACATAACAATTCCAAATTATCGTGAGTACTGTGCTTTTTTTTCTTTTTTTTTAAAAAAAGGTGGCAAGTTAACGTTATCTACCTTTTATGGATCCGGAGAGGTTATGAGAGATTTCAATTTGTCCGAGATCACAATTAAGTAGACTCACCGGCTTGAAGCATCGAATCCAAAACCTCTTATATTTTTTTATTTGTTGAAGAACAGTCATTCGCGTTCTTACTACTAGACCACTTGAAGTGGTTGTGAGTGCTGTGCTTTGAACTTGCATATATTATTTGCGGTTGTTGAATTTGACACTGGTGCGTACAACGCCGAAATGTATAATTGTTACTTGTCGTTTAATTAGTCTACATTAATCCACATGGATCACGACCAAGGTACGTACGTACTAGTAAAGCCGAAAAATTTATATCGGGGGACTATGGAAGTAAAGAAGACAAATTGAATCAGACCTGTAGGCACACAATACAAATTGGGACTTTTCTTTCAACATGATTAAGAATATTGTTTAAGACCATTATTAGGTTTACATTAATTAACCTCATGCAAGTAATCGGGATTAGACAGATTGCTGCTTTAGTCTCAATCCTCGCATTTGTAGGCCGCTGCGGTCATAAATCATCCAGGAGAGGATGCTCGTTGGATTCTCTTTGTGAGAATTTTGGAAATCCTTCAATCACATCCATTTATCGTATATCCTGCGGTTAGAAATCATTGTAAATTTTTTTATTTAAAATTGAATATAAACAGTACCTAACAAAAATTGACATATACGATAAACGAATATGATTGGAGGATTCTTAGGATCCTCACAAAAAGGATTCGATGAGGATCCTCTCTCATAAATCATGGACCATCTCAGTATTCAGACTAGTTGTGTTTGTTTTGGGCAAACACGTGTGTATTTGCTCGATCTCGGATATTACGGCTACCATGTACTACCACGAAATTTTTGTGATAAGTGAAAGAAGAACATGAGTAAACGTAATAAATTTTGTATTAATGAAGGTCTAGGATTATAATCTCTAACACAGAAATTTAATCATCTGATTCGATATTTGAAAATGTAAAGTTTATGTGTAGCGTGGTTGATCAAAAATTGATGTGTTACCACGTTGAAAAGTTCATATGGTACCGTTTGGTACGCATACGGGACAGAACGGAATGAGACGGGACATGACAGGACGGGATTGAACGGAACGGAATGAAGGCTTCGTGTTATGTTTGGTATGCACAGGACAAAATAGAATGGTTGTTCCATTTTACGTTTGGTAAGCGCAAGACGGAACGGAACCAAAAAATTAAATGACTAAATTAGTCTTGTTCCGTCTGTTATTCGGTGTAGAAAGAAGAGAAGACTAGCGGCATTGCAGTTCTGCCTGGACGCAGTCATCAAGTAAACATTGTTATGCTGTATAAACAAGTAGCTCATGCCATTAACATGAACAACTAGATCATGAGACTCCGGATCAACCTGAACCGCATCTCAACAAGCATGGAAAGAAAAACAAAATGCCACTATCAATTTCTCCTCTCACAAAACAGATCAAATCCAAATTTGCAGGGGAATAATTCATCAACAAGCGACAATTCAGTTTCATTTTCCTTCGTTTTCTCGGCAACCAATCGGTTCCCCAAACAATTACAAGATAAAAAACACAGAAATTCTGGAAATGGAGGTTTTAGGATTCTAGATTCTTTTAATTTCTTTCTCTTCAAATCAAACACAGAAAAATCCCAATTTTTTTTTTTTTTCAATTTACAAAGGCTACGTCGGATCATCGGATCTGCAAATTCATTTCAATCAATTTATATTGCTTTGTCATTGTCTTCCCTGCAGCATCGTCATCACCCTACGTGCAGCGTCGTCGTCGTCGTCGTCGTCGGCCTGGCTATGGTGACGGCGCCGGAGAAGAAGTTGCAGCCATGGTTGGGTTCAGATGGGTTTGCTGGGATTGGGTTAGCAGTTAGGTTGCTGGGTTTGTGGTGGAGGAAAAAGGAGGCTACAGGAGAAACGAGGGTCGAAGAGAGGGAGGTTACGGGAGAGAAAGGGAGGTAGACAATGTAATTAATGAAAAAAAAAAGAGGGGTATTGTTGTTCAAAAAAATATAATTTTGTGTTCCACGGGATGGAACGAAAAAGTGACCAAAATTCGTTTCACGGGACAACGCGTTCCACGATTTTTAAGTGCATCAAACATGGGACAGAACGCCTCGTCTCATTGCGTTCCATCTCGTCCTACGTACCAAACGGTACCTATATCGGCCAGCTGCCCTCAGCCCTGGGGCATCAATTTTTATTTTATTTATTTTTTGCACTAATTCAAATAGTGTGGTAGAAGTTTAGGATACTTACCCTTTTTTAATTGGGTTTTAGTAATGATTAATTAAAAGTCAATAATAGTTCCAATGAGAAGAAAATTTAAATCTAACAAAGAGCGATTTGTATTCACCGAGTGATGTTATTTATTAGACACAAAATACTGATACATTTATTTATACGTTTTTAAATACAAGCGAGTACAATATACAATGACATACTATATTAAAAAAATGTATAAACAAGTGAGTCAATTTTGTTTTTCTAAATTATTTTTTGGTGGCGATGAGATCATTGTCTCACCATCTTTATGTGAATTATATATGTAGAAATTATAATCAAAACTCACAATAAGAATCAAAGGACAATTAGAACTGCCATGCTTAAATAGGAAGTCAAGATTGAGTATTACGACCGGCCATCATATCTCCTTTATGATGAGTTCATCTTTATCTTTATCCATGTCACCGAGAGAAGAAAAAAAAAAAAAATATATATATATATATATATATATATATGTATGAGTTCATCTTTATCAAAAATATCCTTAAAAAACTATCCTGGTACTATATTGCCCCCACATAGACAGAGAAGTCACCACAAAATATGACGGAGATGAAAGTCACCTCATAGAATTGATGGCCAGTCTGCAGACATAATGGTATTAACTGCTTTGGGTTGTTAGGTAGTTAGGAGCTTACTTACTCATGTTTCCTAGTTACTATAAATAGTAGGAGAGTCACAGTTGTAAACATCTTTTAATACAAGTACAACATACAGAAATTACATCGTTCTCTCTCTAAATTATTACCACGTCTCTAAGATTTCTTCACATTTTCTTTACTGTTAGTTTGTTAAGAAATGGGAAAGGGCCGAAAAGTTAATCTATAAGAGACGAGACTTAATTAGTTAAAAATTAAGTCATGACAAAGATGAGACATTATTCAACTTAAATTATGAGATGATCGTGTTCGTGTAAGTTTGATATGAACATGTAATATGGGTTTCTTATTAACTACATTTAGAAAAATCAAGAATAATGATGAATTGAGAAAGATCGAGAACTAGAGAGAAAGTTTACAGAGAGAACTGGAGAGAAAATTTATAGAGAAATGAGGCTTCTATATTTATGAGAAAATGATTAACTAATTACATTTGTGAGTTGCCATTCCTAATATATGAGCTTAACAACCTAAAAAATATTCTAACAACTTTGACTGACATGGCAGTGATAATATAACAACCAATGATCAGAAAACATCTATCTTCATTTCTCTCTTTGCACTCTCCACTTGGAGGCTGGATCTGAACGTGAAGTAGGGTTAAAACTTGATGTACATTAAATGGTAAAGTGTATAAAAGATTAAGTCGAAATGCATTGCGGATTTGAGCTTTGATGTCCAATGCGAGGCCATGAACCATCATTTCAAAGAGAACAGTGACACGAGCCAAACTCAACGTTTTGTTGTAATGTATGGGACGTATTAATTAGCCGAATTCTATTGTTGGCTAGCACAAAATGGGATTTTAATATTTTAGGACCCTTTTTATTATTTTGTTAATTCATTTCCAATTAGGATTCTTAGGAATTTTTGGGTTTTTAAGTTATATTATGGCTGATGAGGCTTTGCCCCCTCCACCACCCCCTAATGTAGATAATATTGCTTATTTAAAAAAAAAGTTGTATTATAAATAGGTCATCTTATCCTTTAGTTTGTTATCTTTTATATTATCAATCAAGCTTTATGTTTTTTCACATTCTTTTTGGGAATTCCAGTATTATTGTTCATTAACAACTTAAAGTACAACAATAAGGGAAGAATCAATTAATACTTACTTAAAAGGCCAAACCACAAGGGCAACCCACGTTTCTATCACAATTTTGTTTTGGTAAGTACAAGAAGCTAACTAATTAAAGGGGCCAACCATGAGGGCATCTCCCCCTAGCAGGGTACACACGGTTGTGGATGGATTAAATGGTAGTAAATTAGGTTTTGAGAATTGGACACGAATGTATGTGATTCACACATGGTTCCCCTTGCAGAGCACACACCATTGTGGATTCATAAAACATCTGTCTTCATTTCTCTCTTTGCACTCTTCACTTGGAGGCTCAATCTGAACGTGAAGTAGCGTTAAAACTTGATGTACATTAAATGGTAAAGTGTATAAAAGATTAAGTCGAAATGCACAAATGAGTTCAAAAGAACAAAGCATTGTGGATTTGAGCTTTGATGTCCAATGCGAGGCCATGAACCATAATTTCAAAGAGAACAATGACACGAGTCAAACTCAACGTTTTGTTGTGATGTATGGGACGTATTAATTAGCCGAATTCTATTGTTTGCTAGCACAAAATGGGATTTAAATATTTTAGGACCCTTTTTATTATTTTGTTAATTCATTTCCAATTAGGATTCTTAGGAATTTTTATATTATGGCTGATGAGGCTTTGGCCCCTTCACCACCCCTAGTGTAGATAATATTGTTTATTTAAAAAAAAAGTTGTATTATAAATAGGTCATCTTATCTTTTAGTTTGTTATCTTTTATATTATCAATCAAGCTTTATGTTTTTTCACATTCTTTTTGGGAATTCCAGTATTATTGTTCATTAACAACTTAAAGTACAACAATAAGGGAAGAAGCAATTAATACTTACTTAAAAGGCCAACCACAAGGGCAACTCACGTTTCTATCACAATTTTGTTCTGGTAAAAAGTACAAGAAGCTAATTAATTAAAGGGGCCAACCATGAGGGCATCTCCCCCTAGCAGGGTACACACAGTTGTGGATGGATTAAATGGTGGTAAATTAGGTTTTGAGAACTGGACACGAATGTATGTGATTCACACATGGTTCCCCTTGCAGAGCACACACCATTGTGGATGCATTAACTGGTAGTAAGGTTTTGAGAACTGGACACGAATGTCTGTGCTCCGCATACATCATATCCACGCAACTCGTCCACTCCTGCATGAGTTCATATGGATTCTTACATTTGTCTTCTTTTTGGACACTCATGTTCATTTGTTTGCAACAATGACCTTTTCGTTAATGATATCGTTTATAGATAAAGTTGAGGTTTCATTATAAAATTAATTGGTAATATGGAAAGTAGTCAAACTTACTTATAAACTCATGCAAGATCTCCTCTCATCAATGTAGGATTGATCATTCTCAACACGCCATCTTATGTGTGGTGAATTTTCAAGCCTAACACATGGACAATACAACGGGGTCGCGTGTGGTCGTTTGGCTTCACACATGAGACAACCTTACTCTAATACCATAAAGAAAGTTGAACTATATATGTAACAAATGGGTTGACGTCAACTGAACCTAATGACTGCGGCAATTGTATCGAAACTTCGTCCGAGAAAAATGTGGAGTTTGATTTAATTATTAGGTCTGCGCACGCGGGGAAATTAGTTTGTGTATGTTTGTAGCTCTCTATAAATATCATAGAAATCATAGGCTTGATCTGCTAGACATAACAAAATCAAAAAAGAAGTGTACGTACTTAAGTACTTGTGAGCGTGTGAGTATCTAAAAGCACAATATCTCATGTATTCTCAAGAAGTTTTGGTTAAGAATCTTGTAATGAAAATTAAACAAGAACTGTTTTCACCGGATGTTGATCTTGTTTCTCTTGTTCCTCCTTCTCCTTACGACACTGCGTGGCTGTCTATGATTCCGAATCCTCATCGAGGATCAGATGAACCCTTGTTCAAGGGATGCTTGGATTGGGTGCTCCAACACCAAAGCATACGAGGCTTTTGGGGAGATGATGATCATGTTCCAACCCTAGGGTCCCTCACTTCAACTCTTGCGTGCATTGTTGCACTTACCACATGGGATGTTGGCTATGATGCCATTCAGAAAGGTAAGTAAAAGAAACTAGTTGATCAAATTTCGTAACTGGACCCTGGAGAAAAAATTAAATATGGAAAATTCCTGTTTTTGCAGTTGGAGTAATTGGTTGTTACAAATTTTTCTTATATTTATTGTTTAGGGCTGGCATTCATCCATGCAAGTACAGAGAAGCTACTGGAAGAGCAAAATGGTACTTTTCCTGAGTGGTTTGTGATTGTTTTCCCAGCAATGGTGGAACTTGCACAGACCAAAGGACTGCGTGTTTATTTTTCTCATGGTTCAACAGCGCTGGTAGAACAAGTCTTCCAAGAGAGAAAACAAATATTTCAAATGCACAGGTATATATAGTTTTGATTTTACAACTGTACTTTAACTTCTTTTGTAGAGATACAAAAACTAAGTAATAAAGAGGAAATACAAGGAAGAAATGAGGGATAAATTATGACAGAGAGGATTGGTGATGGGAAGAATGCGGATAAAAATACAAATAAAATGATAGGCAACATGAAAACTAAAAACTGAAACAGTTTTATCATAGGTTTTCTTATCTAGTTTGGGTTTTAATTTTCTATGGCATTGTCCATTTCTCCATCCTCCCTCATACCACTCACCATCTTACTTTCATTCTATAAAAAAGTTAAAAAAAAAAAAAAAAAAACCTAAAAATGGAATGTTTACCGAACAGCTCTAAATATTTAATCTAATTTTCGTTGTAGCAGCAGGTTGGTGCAAAGTGGTGATCAGCAACAGTACTATTCACTAGAGTTTATGCAATACCTCGAAGCTTTGCCTGAAACATATGATATTAACTCCAATGAGACTCTACTAATATCCCAAAGTGAGGAAGATGGACTGTTTATCCAATCCCCATCAGCTATTGCTTATGCTTTCATGAAGACAGGACGCAAGGAGTTTTTGTCCAAGTTGGATTCTATTGTCCAAAGATGTGGGTTCTCAGGTACGTAGGACATACATAATAAAAGCATGCATGATGCATGCAAGTCAAATCCATCTGAAAAATGCCAAAATTCCCAATAAAGTTTGTTTTTGTTTTGTTTTTCCCTTCCTATGATGTGATTGTTGGTCTACAATGCGTAGTCTGCTGTCACCAGTACAAATGTCACATACGCACGCACGATATATCTCGGAGTATCGTAATTACTATTTTTTAACCGTTAAATTTTTAATGAAAATATAAAAATTAAGATCTAATATTTAAAAAGTTCCAAACCATCATACACTTCGGAGCATTTTACAACTTTAGATATACACCTCACAATAAAAATGTATCGTGACAAATAAACCACATGAACTTAAAGAGTGAGACAATTCTATAAACGTGTACAGTTCCTGCAATCTACCCCATGGATGAAGACCTTCTAAGGGTTTGCCTCATTAATCGGATTGAGAGGCTGGGACTGGAAGAGCATTTCATGGCGGAGATAAAAAGTATGCTGGGACAAGTTTACAGGTGACTATCTAATATTCATCACTAAGCAATATATGCACACTATCTGGTTGATTAAATGGTTTTTTTTTTTTTTTTTCAAAAAAAAAAAAAAGCAGAAGTTACATCAGTTGCGAAGAGCCAAAGAGCAAGGAGGTGTTACAACTATATAAAGATTCACTCGCATTTCGACTTCTCAGACTACACGGTTATACAGTATCTCCTCGTAAGGATCAATTAATAGTAAATTGCTCATATATGCTTTTTTATTGCGAAACATCACATAATTTACAAATGTGGTTTAAAGAGTTGGTCTATTTAATATTACTTTTTCTAGTTATATATACTCGTGATAACTTTCATACCCAGTTGTTGCTAGTTTTGCTACGATGGTGTAACTTAGTTGTCAAGAAAAATTCAGTTTATTTATTTGTCTACATGCTAAAAGTTGTTACTGTTTGCAGGGAAGTTCTGCTGGTTCCTTGATGATGAAGATAAAATGTTTTACATAGAAGAGCACCACGAAATTTTTCTGCGAGCCATATATAATGTATACAGGGCAACTGATGTGACCTTTACAGGAGAAAGTCAGCTTGAGGATGTTAAGGAGTTCTGTAGAAGAATATTAGAAAAGCAGACATTGAAAGATTCTAAGAATTTGGTTGGGCCTACCAGTATGACTTACTTGCAAGACCAGGTTTATATGACAAATAATCAGGATAAATATGAATAAAAATATGCAAAATAAAACAGAATATATGCTCAATCATTATAATTTAGTTATTTAATCATCTGCTAATTAATTTTGTTGCATATCTCCCCTTGAGTAGATTAAGCATGAAATTAGTATTCCATGGCTTGCTCGGTTGGATCATCTGGAGCACAGGAAGTTCATTGAGAGGGAAGAGCCTGTTGGTCCATGGACAGGAAGAGGCTTATCCTACGGGTAATTAAATTAGTACTAACTAATTAAATACATCAAGGCAGTCAAATCTCCGACTAAGCAGTTCAATTACTTAATACCTTGCAGATTATCATGTCAAAGCAAGGGCAAGCTGCTACAACTTGCTATCGAGAATTATACACTACGGCAGTCCATGTTCAGAAATGAATTAAAGGAGTTAGAAATGTTCGTATTCACTCTCCACATTTTCACTAAAGATTTTATTTTCTTTAATTTGCCCAAAAAAAAAATAACTAAACACCAGTACCTTTTTTAGTAAAAGATAATGCAGAATTTCCAATTTTTTTATTTATTTTAATACTGGAGTTAATTAATCAAGGAAACCATTTTCTTTTTCTGTTTTGGGTGAAAATATAATTAATCGTGAAGGTGGTCAAAGGGCATGGGTCTTGTTGAAATGGGGTTTGCTCGACAGAAAACCGCGTACTGCTATTTCGCCGTTGCTTCAACAGTATCACATTCTTCCCTGTCATGTGTACGGCTGGCAGTTGCCAAAGGTGCAGTAATTGTTACAGTTGCTGATGATTTTTTTGATAAGGAAGGTCCAATGAATGAATTGGAAGCTCTTGCCAATGCCGTCAAGAGGTAGACTACATTAACCTATAATTATTGTATCTGCTGGTTAAATAAAATTTGTCATGCAATATATAAAACTACATAACTCACTGTTATGTGTTGAATCTCGCATTCATGTTATGTGACTGAAGTTATATATAATTCGCGAATGCATCCCAACATAAAGCAGTAACTCATAGTATTATTTGCATCTAATTAAATATGCTCATCCTAAAAAATCAGATGGCAGAACGAAGGATTGGATGGACATGGAAAAACTATATTCAAGGCTCTCAAAGATTTTGTTGATGATATTTCTTGGCAATTCTTCAATCAAAATGGATATGACATAAAGAGTTATCTCCAGGATCTAGTAAGATTAATTTTCAGTAAATAAATTTAGTCGACACAACGGTAAAAAAAATGTGTTACTTATTCTTTCTTTTATTTTAATTTTTTATTTTGCCGAAATGAATTTAGTGGCAGCAAACATTTGTAAGCTGGTTAAAAGAAGCAGAATGGAGCAGAAATGGGCATCCCTCGTCAATTGTTGAATACCTCCAAGTAGCCACATGCTCGATTGCTTCACACACTATTCTTCTTTCAGCTGCTCTTCTGCTTAGTACACCTCCAGAATTAGAGATCCTCAAGTCCCCTCAAAGCCATCCACTTACAAATTCACTTATGGTTTTGACACGGCTTTTGAACGAAATTCAAAGCTATCAGGTATATGAGAAGAAATTTTTGTTTTAACGTCACACTGTTATATGATATTATTAATGCACCTGTTATAGTAGTGGTGGTGAACAAAATGATTGTTATATTAGATACCCAAGGTTTATCATTAATAAAACATGTTTTGACAAAAAATAAATAAATAAAGATACACATAAATGGATTAATATTAACTTAATATGACAGTGGGATAATAAGACTGGATAATCTCTCGAGAAATTCATAATGACTCATTTTTTAGGGGTGTTTTGATATAGGTGCCTCATTTTTTAATTTTTTTAGACTAAACATACACTCCTTTTGAAAATTTGATCAAACATTTTCCTAAAATTTTGGTTATTAATTTCAGTTTTTCACATAAGTTCAATTTTGTTTAGAATTTTAGTTTTTCACGAATTTTCCTGGGCATTTCGTTTTCTTTTTTCTTTCTTTTCCTATTATCCCTATATTTATGCATTTATTATCCATCACTATGCATTTTTTAATTGTTTGTTATAATTTTTACTTTTTTTTTGTGAATATAGTAGAATATTTATAAAAAAAATTGTCAAAATTTATTATTTAGAAGACCCCAACACATAATAAAGATTTGTTTAATTATATAGCTACGTCTAGTTACCTATAATATGGACACATTTAGTTTTATAGTGGATTTTATTTTTTGTATTTCTCAGTACATTTGGAATGTAAATGTACCAAAATGGTTATCTGATAGAGACATTTGGTTTTGTGGTACATTTGGGATTTTTTGTTCATTTGGTCTTTTGGTACAATGGGAATCTAAACGTACCAAAAGGGTTACCTGACAATGGGCATATTTGGTTTTATGATACATTTGAAATTTTGGTACATTTGGTTTCCCTGTATATTTGAAATCTAAACGTACCAAAAGGGTTACATAACAATGGGTACATTTGGTTTTATGTTACATTTGAATTTTTTGTACATTTAGTTTCTCGCTACATTTGAAATCTAAATGTACAAAAAGTCGATACTTCTGTTCTTAAATGACCATAAGTTTTAAGTATATTTTTTTATATATCTATATAGGAAAAAAATATGTATTGAAGACTTTTTATTGAGACAATTTTAATAGAAAGGGTTTTTTTTAAATGAGGAATTAGTTAATTAATTTTTTATTTTATTTTATTTTATCAAAAAATATCATTTAATGTTTAGAAGGGAATTGACGAAATTAAATTCCTATATTATAGGCAATTAGTTGCTAAACTACCTTATGCCTCTATATAAAAGCATTTAAATTAATGACATGGAAATTAAATAAATAGAAAATTATTGAGGTGGCAATTGATCGAAGCACCTTAATCAAATCTTTAAAAAGGATGAATGTTTAATCTAACAAGTATAGAAAAAAAATGTAGGGCATTCTAATTTTCCCCATTTTTTATTAGTTGTCATCATGTTTAGTAATATTCATCACTAGTGGGAAAATTGAAATTAATGATTTAATTGCAGAAGGAGCAAGAGGAGGGGAAACCAAACCTTGTTCTGCTACACATGAAGGGAAATCCCAATTTGGGGGCTGAAGAATCAATTGGGATCATACAAAAGATGTTGGAAGAAAAGAAGAAAGAGTTTCTAGAACATGCTCTGGTAATTAATTAATGGCATCAATGGTGATGGTATGCCAGAGGCATGCAAAAAACTCCACCTCTTCTGCCTCAAAGTTTTTCAGATGTTTTTCAATTCTACAAATGTATTTGACTCCCCAACAGAATTGCTTGCTGACATCAACAAAGCAATTTATGATCCCTTGAGAGTGGATGCACAAGGAATATCAAAGAAGGATAAAAAAATTTTGGCTAGCTATGGAAAATCCCAGACTACTTGTGTTATGAAAGTCCAAGGGAACTTAAGGAAAGAATTTGTGGCCAAACCTTACTTGGGATATGGGGTCTTGTCACTTAAGCTGAGAAAACCAACTATATTTACGACATTTCGGAATCTCAAGGTTTGCAACTATTCCGGCTACTGGGTTTAACCCTCCTCCTCTAGCTTCATGTACTCGTTTATAAATATTCAATTTTTACTACAGATGAATAAGTGGTTAGTTAGTCATCTTAATGTAATAATTCATTTTTCTTCTGTGGAGCAATGTGGCAACTGCTGCATAGACCCCTTAATTTGTGTGACCATGTATAATAATTTCTTAGAGTGGATTTTCACCCCTATGGCCGAAATCACCGTTCGAGTTATGGAAACAGCATCCTTGCAAAGCAATGATAAGGTTGCGTACGATAGATGTCCCCCCTCACTGTCCCCTTACAAACCGGGAAGCCTTGTTGGGTTGAGGTCATCCTTTTATATAAGCAGCTCAGAATGTCAATCAATATGTGACGGTGAAAATGCATCACATATTGTGATGCATTTTTATTTTCTATGACGAGTGTTTGTCGTCATTTAATCATGTTTTCTTATAGTGATATATATGATAGGATAATGCTAGGGAGACTACATTTGTAGACAAAATTTACAAATTAAATGATGTGTAATCAATAGGAATGAACACGTTTATCAACGGTTAAGTAATAAACCAATCATCAACTTCTATGTCCTTTTATTTATAAAATTTTGTCTACAAATCTAATCTCCCTAACATTACCCTATATAATATCTAGGCCAAAAACTTTTCTTGCTACCTGTGGTGATAGAGCCCAATAGTTGATCGTCAAATGGGATCTGCATTCATTGCGAAAGTGAGCATAGGCAGACTGAGGAGGTCATCATCTATTTCTTACTTTCTTCACATGGACACGGGGAGTCGCCTGATATGGATCCAATGTCAAGGGTGTAGAGATCAAGGACACCATTGCTTTTACCAAAACAACCAATTTTCAACAGTTCAAAGTCCTCTTCTTATCAGAGACTCGCTTGTGGTAGCCACCGCCTTTGCCGACCTGGAATATACCGAGGAAACTTTTGCACATAACGTTTGGAGTACGAAGATGGTTCTATTACTGAAGGTTAACTTGCATTAGAAACCTTTACTTTTGATTCAGACTCAAGGTTCCTTAAAGAGAAGATTTCAAACATGGTTTTCGGTGTGGTACTAATCCGCAAGACATGGATCACTATGGTTCTGAGGGAGGTAATGTTTCAGGCATATTAGGGTTGGGATGGAAACCTCACTCCCTTATCGGCCAATTAGGCTCTACAGTTCAGGGCAGGTTCTCATATTGCCTCCAAAAAATGGTCAATAACAATCACAGCCGCACTACGTTTTTCCAATTTGGTGCAGATTATATACCAACTAGTCGATATTCTCAAAACACGGACATGTACAATTATGGTGCATTTGGTGCGTACTTTGTGAACATGACAGACATTTTGCGGGAACACCTCTAGAAATCCCACCCGAACATTTTGTTAAGTAATTACTCATGGATTGTTCGACCAGCCTACGAAATGTTGGAACAAGCACTGGTGAATTACTTGTCTAGGATTCCTGGCATAACGAGAATCCAAACGCCGTGAGTTTTCAATTTGTGCTACCAAAGGCCAGAGGGTCAAGACCAGGGTTTGAGAATCTTCCCAATGCCACATTCCGTTTTGTAGGTGCTGATATGGTGGTGCACCCTCCCAGTGCCTTTTGGGTGGGTGTCAATCAGAGGCGAGTGGAGTATTTTTGCTTGGCAATGCTACCGTCTCTCGATGCTGAAAGCATAAGCGCCATAGGAGTATATCAACCAACGAAGCACCGTGTGCCATATAATCTTAACAGAAGTATGTTGCGTTTTAACCCCAAGATTAATGCACTCGAAATCCATGAAAAGTATTTTCCTGTTCCTAATGCTCATAAGGAATACTATCAGATCAGAAATAAATAAAAGTTTCAAAGATGAGTTCAATCTTCTTTGTCTTGTCAGCCTTGAACACAATTTATTATTTTTTTTTATAGAAAAAAAGGTCAAAATTGTGTTAATAAAGGACATATTACAACTTCCACAAATTAAAACAATTTAGCATTTTTTGAAAAAAAATTAAAAAAATCTAGCATGTCAGATTTGTTTAAAGTAGAATGCAAGACTATAAAAGTCGAATGAGGATCCGGGGATCCTCCAATTACATTCGTTCATCGTACATTGTGTGGCCAGTTTTCGTCAGGTACTGTTTATATTTAATTTTAAATAAAAAAATTTACAATGATTTCTGGCCACACGATATACGATAAATGGATGTGATTGGAGCATCCCCAGGATCCTCACAAAGAGGATCCGGAGACGATCCTCATTCATAAAGTCTTCTAATTCGCACTGTCCAAAATGATCCAAGGGTTCTAACAATGCCACGTATTTAATAAATTAATTATATATTTTTTTTTCATAAAATGTAGAGGATCCTCATCCTAAAAAACCAAAAAGAAGTTTCATACAAATCAAGATCGTCTAATTAATCCGTCTTAACTATCAAATCTCTACTTTAAATTTAAGGCATCTTTTCTATTAAAAAAAGCTCACAATCTGCATTGTAAAGCCTCTTATTTTTGCTCTTAGAATAAACGATCTCAAACAAGATTGCATACATTTGGAATTTTCATGGCCAACAAAGTAATCTTTCTTTGTCTATACATTCTGTCATCAATTATTTTGTTACCAGGAGTCGAAAATGCAAAACTAGGGTTGACTATTAAGCTCATTCACCGCGACTCCCCAGAGTCACCTCTTTACCAACCTAACCTCACACCACAAAGAACACAAAACCTCGTTCTACAATCAAAAGCCCGCGTCAAACGCCTAAGGAATGAACGTTTACAGCCCAGCAATTTTAACTCAGGTACTAATTTGTGCGTCCGAAAGTTGATTGCCAGAAGGCGTTACGTTCATGGTGCAAGTGAGCATAGGCACATTCAGGATGTCACAGCCCATTTCTTACTTTCTTGACATGGACACGGTGAGTGACCTTATGTGGCTACAATGCCAAGAATGTAAAGGTCCAGGGCACCACAGCTTTCACCAAAACAACCCCATTTTCAATCATACGCAATCTTCTTCTTATAGAAAACTTATTTGCGATCGTCATCCCCTTTGATTTCCTGGAAAATGCATCGGAAACTTTTGCTCATACCATATAGTGTATGACGATGAGGCTACAACCGAAGGCTATCTTGCGTCCGAAACCTTTACTTTTGAATCAAACTCAATGCGGAGTGAAAGGGTTCCAAATATAATTTTCGGTTGTGGTATATTAATCAGATAGGTATGGATGCTTATGGTGAAGAGGGAGGTAATGTCGCTGGAATATTAGGCTTGGGATGGTCACCTCATTCTCTTGTCAGCCAATTAGGTTCTATTTCCGAAGGCCAGTTCTCACATTGCCTCCAAAGCATGCCCTATGACCATCACAGTCCCAACACATATCTGAGATTTGGTGCAGACATACCCAATAGACCATCTTTTCAACAGACTGAGTCAGCAAAATTTGGTAGACTTATTCCTTACTTTCTGAACATGCTAGACATTAGTGTTGCAAGTTTGCGTCTACATATCCCACCCGAACATTTTGCTAGGAGGCCGCAGTTTCGTGGTGGGACACTAATAGATACAGGAACTATGCTTACTCAGGAATTATTCAACCAGCCTACGAAATCTTGGAACGAGCACTCGTGAATTACTTCTCTAGGTATCGTAATATAACAAGGATTCATAGAGAAGACTTCAATTTGTGCTACCAAAGATCAACGGTCAGAAGAGAAGGATTTATGAATCTTCCAACAATCACATTCCATTTGAAGGTGCTGATCTTCTGTTGCAGCCTCAGGCAGCGTTTCTTGTTGATCTAACCGGGCGGTCCTACAGGCGAGAGTATTTTTGCTTGGTAATGTTCAACGAAAGTGATGATACCGTAATAGGTGCATACCAGTAAACAAATCAGCGTTTCATATATGATCCCGGTAGAAGGACATTGCGTTTTGGCCCTGAAGATTGTAGCAGAACTCCATGAACTTCATTGTGTCATGCCATAAATAAAACGAAATAAATTAATAAGGTAAATTTATAATCAACCTTCCTTTCTTTTTATATATCTATATATATCTATAGAGTTCGTTTTTGCTCACTCCTAACTCAAAATAACTGTTATTCTCCCCTAAACTCGCGTCACGTGTACAAAGAACTAACCATGCTTAGTCTATATTCTTTAATCTTTTATGGCGGAAAAGGAAAAAAAATTAAATTAATCAAGAATTTAGATATGTATAATGAAACTAAATTGAAAGTTGTCGATGGTGTAATTTTAACATTTGTTTCTTGTGTCAAAATTCGTATTGATCGTGTCAGACTTTCGCGTTTTAAAAGTCAAACGGAAACAGTAGAAGCATGTGTTAATGTATGGTAAAGAAGGCAAGCACGATCCTTTTCTCTGTTCCACTCAGAAATCCAAGACTTGTGTTATTTTTCCGATCAAAGAAGCAAACATTTCAGTCCCAAAAACTCCCACGTAAAATCATGGACATTACATTACGTTGAACTTCCTCAATTTCTCCGAAAGCTCTGTCGATTAACCCGACAAATGTCTACTCTAAACATAATCGCAGCTCACAACCTCCCTTCACCCTCAACCTCCTCCTTCGTTGCTCAATCTCACAAACCCAACTCGCTTTCACTCTTCTTCTGCAACCAAGCCTCCAGCAAACCCGACCCACCAAGGCTTTCGGGCTTCCCGACCCGGAAAAAACGAAGCTGGATTGTGGGGTCGGTCACTGAGGACAGAGAGGTGGTTCCATTGAAGGAAAAACTTGCAGAGGAGCAAGATAGCAGATTACTGGTTAATGGGTCGGAAGAGTTTCAGGCTCTTTCGACGTCGTCGGAGGAGAAAGGAGAGGGGGATGATTTGGATAAGCTGACGAGCAGAGCAATTAATGCGTTGATTGTTCTGGGATTGGGGACCTTTGCGGTCTCTAAGTTGCTCACAATCGACCACGATTATTGGCATGTAAGTGATCTCATTCATATGTGTGTGTGTGTATGTATACATGTAAATATATTGGTCTGTGTGTTCATGGAGAATGATGTTCATATGACTCTTTGAAGGGTTTTGTCTTATGGGTTTATCTTAGTTTGTTGATTAATTGATTAAAGTTTTCAGCTTTGATTCTCGAATCGGTTGATTCTTAATACTTTAATCTATACTTAGTTAAGTTTCTCTGCTGGATTTGGAACATCTTTTAGTAGAATGATGAACCGAATTGAAATTGGTATCTGTGAATTCATGGATTTTTATGCAAGTAAGCTGAAGAAGGTTTAAAGGGTTATGTTGTTTGGCTTAATTTGTTAATCTGTTAATTTGCTTGAAGTCTTCAGCTTTGTTTTTGGAATGGGTTGATCCTTAATACTTTTTAAGTTAACCTTTACATGTTTGAATGATGAGCTGAATCGAAATCGAGTTCTTTTCTTCTCTATATTGAATAAGGTGGTTGCCTCTGTAACTTGTTGTATTTTGGATGTCAAGGCTTAATTTTTGAGACGTTTTTCAGGGATGGACACTTTATGAGATACTAAGATATGTACCGGAACACAATTGGATTGCTTATGAACAAGCTCTCAAAGCAAATCCAGTTATTGCCAAAATGGTGATAAGTGGTGTTGTCTATACTCTAGGAGATTGGATTGCCCAAGTAAGTCTCTCTTCACTGTCTTCAGATAAGATTGGATAAAGTTTGTCTCAGTCATGGCTTGTTTTTATGGTTTCTTAGTTGTTTCCTATTGTATGTGAAGTGTTTTGAAGGGAAGCCACTTTTGGATTTTGACCGGAAACGCATGTTCAGATCAGGCCTTGTTGGGTTTACTTTCCATGGATCCCTTTCCCATTTTTATTACCAATTTTGTGAGGTGAGAATTCTGGTTTATATTTGCTTATTTTTGGCTTGTTTGATGAGTTTCTATGAATGGCTAAACTTATTGACTCTGATTTTCAGGCTCTTTTTCCTTTGGAGGATTGGTGGGTAGTCCCTGCCAAAATAGCCTTTGACCAAACAGTCTGGTCAGCCATTTGGAACAGCATCTATTTTGTGGTTCTGGGGTTCTTGCGTTTCGAGTCCCCAACCAAGATTTTTGATGAATTGAGGGCTACATTTGTGCCAATGCTGACTGTAAGAAACTCTTCTAAATCTTCCTTATCAGTTTTAAATGTCTTGTTTTTGTTTTTGTGATTGTATTTTGTTTGTTTTGAATGGATTGCGAGATTATTTTTTTACCAGATAGAGTTGGATTTCTGTAAAAACACTTGAGGAGGATCTCTTCACTTATATCTGATTTAAGTTCTCTGACCCAGTTATCATAGCTTGTTTTGCTTCATATGCTGCTGATTATATTAATAGATCATGTAACAATAACAGGTAAAAGAACTTCCATATGTCGGTAAAGTACAAAAGTATATCTAAAAGAAGAGAACATTTGAATTTTGAGCTAATGTGGTCTCCAAAAGTAGTAATTGTTTCTTTCACTTGTACGCATACAGTCATACCAGCAGAGGTTAACGTGATACCTTAAAAAAAGTATATACAAGGGTCGAGGGTGGATGGTAAAAACATGAATATAAATTCATTATAGTTTACGTTTGAACCTAGCAACTAAAATTAAGCAGAAATTATTATGACTTCGATATTTGATCTAAATGCTTCTTGTGGTTTGAGTTTCTATGAACACGGGTTTGATTGGTATATTGTAAGTGGTAACCTACTTATATTCGTGAGTAAATTGGCATGACAGGCGGGATGGAAACTTTGGCCATTTGCTCATGTGGTTACGTATGGCCTGATCCCTGTTGAACAAAGGCTTCTTTGGGTGGACTGTGTGGAGCTTATTTGGGTTACTATTCTCTCAACGTAAGCCTCCAATCTTAGTTTCTTTTATATGGCGAGAATTTCTGTGTGGGAACCCCTACCCTGATAAGGGTAGTCTGCCCTATTTTGTATGCCTGTTAATTTCAATATGTGTAATATCGTTTCTCACTGGTTAAATTTTCTTTGGGCAGTTATTCAAATGAGAATGCAGATTCCAGTTTATCCGAGGCATCTTCTGGTGCAGATTCTGCTTCTTCGTCAAGCAGTTCTTCAAAGGTATGTCACGTTAGCTGTTACTGTAGGGCCTATTTCAGAATCTTAATACATGTTTGGGTCCAACAATGAAATCTTCAAATAATGAAATACGTGATTCCATGTGCAGGACTAAATTCTGAAAAGCATGGTACTGAGACGGTTTTCTACAGCCAACGCAGTAACCACTGTTTCCACCCTATTAGTGTTTGGAAGCGCAAAATTTCTATACGAGAACTGCGAGGAAAGTACTTGTTAGGGGAGATCATCATTCAATGGCTGTGCAGACCACAATATAATATGAAGCAGCATGAGCTACGTAGCTTGGGAGACCAGCAATTATTGGTTATCCTAACCAAACATTATGATACGAAGAATAATTTTCCTGCCAAATGTGTTCTATATTCGTTCTCAAATTCAGTCAGCTACCCCTGGCGATCTCGTGCTATGTATATTCATTGGAGTAGCTGTAAATTTCAACAGGTACTGCAACTCAGGTTGTAGCTTGGAGAAACTGTATACTTGTAATAATAATGCCATAAAGAAGAATAAGAAGAGATTTTGTAACTACTTGATGTTTCTTGATGTTGAAATGACTGCCTTTTTTGGCGAATTTTGAGAACATTGCTTGGCTTCTTCCTCGGAACGGAGCTTCATTTTCTTTACAAATCACAGTTTCACATATATGCTGCAATGATTTATTTAAATACTAAAAGAATATTTTTGTGCGCATGTCAAACTATAATTACCATTCAATTAAGAACGGCTACTTTTGAGTTTTAAGTTAGGACATTTTTAATTGAGTACAACCATCCGTCCTTCTAGCAATTTATAATTTGATAAGTGTAGAGATAACTCATAAAAAACAAACCATAAACAAAAATTGCACAAAGAAAGTAGCCAAGTATCGTCTTTATTTTTAGCAAGGAATTTGTAGCTCAGTTTGTTAAATAACACTCTCTGCTACACCCAAGGTCTAAATTCGAATATCTCCTTCCAAAGTTGAGAAATCTAGTCCTCATCGAAATCCTTCAAAGTGTTCGGTGGTTCTTACCGAACAGATGTATTCACAGCGGGCATTACTATCGAACATCTTTTTAATCCAACGTGGCGTTAGAAGGGCCATTTTCTTGGTACATCACATGCAGTGCACGTGACCACCCAACATTTCACAAATCGCGCGGGATCCAACTGCCGTTGACAGAGACCAACTTCCTCCGCCTCCCTCAAACAAATAGCAGCACCCCAAAATTTTTGAAATTACATAACCAACCCCAGATCTGAAAATTCTCTTGCACCTCGATCTCGGTACCCCTTTTTAGATCCGATATCGCCTGAACCGGGTCAGAAAACAACAATGGCGAAGGTCGAAGAATTTAAGGACCCCAGCGTCGCGAAGAATAAGAAGAAGAGGAGCCACGGCTCCACCGAGTTCTTCGTCTTCGTGGATTACCTCTTCCTCTCGATCTTCTTCGCGTTCCTCTGCTTCCTCATCTTCAAGATTGCATCCGATTTTTTCTCTCTCTAGACACCAGCATTGTTTCGAATCAGGTTGATCCACCGATCCCTCCTCTCAACTTCGTTGATGTTTTTTTTCCCTCAATTTTTGGTATTCTGAATGCAATTTGTGTAATGGGTTCCTCCTGTGATTTCTTGATTGTTGTAGGTCCGACCATTTTTGTTGATTTGGGTACAGAAAAGAAACTTTTTGTGATAATTAAGTTAAGGAGCAGCTAAATAGATGGCTTAATTTAATAAATGTCGAACCTTTAATTTGTATCCATGATGTAATTGGATGTAGCTTGAGTAACTGTATCTGTATTTAGTTGCAAAATGTAATGTTGTTGTTATTGGAGCGATATTCTATTCTAATCTAAACCAGAGGATGGGAATTCGAACTTGGGTGGAGACGAGAAAGCACGCTGCTTTAGCCAACTTGGTTAGGCGAGGTCGGCGGTTGTAATTGTAATTGAATGGATAGGTAGAGTTATCAATAGGACTTTGAATTCATGGAAACTAAAATGAAGTTTGGTATCTGTGGAGTTGCAATTTGTTCTCATCTGGGTAGTTGTTGAATTTGATGGCTGGTGTTCAATGTGAAAATTCTGTGGTTGGTGCTGGTATTTATTATAGGCATAAATACGGCTGTTGAATGCCAAATATGGTAAGTTTCTGCACATGTTGTTATGAATCCAAGTAAACAATAAACTTGTCAGTTCTTTAGATTTCGAGGACGAGGAAAATCAATTTCAGGTGGACTATTTTCAAGAGGAGCTGGTCCTGTGAACCAGTTTTTTTCAACTGGTCATTTCTCTATTTACTTGACTTGGATTAATGAAATGCACTCAGATTTAAACGCCGTTTCGCGTCAATTGGCTTATGGTTATATCTAAACCAATGCGTCTTTAGTTTCTGAACATTTTTCAGTATAATGTTGTTGAATGGTCGTAGGGCTCAATCGATAAAATGAAGATTGCTTGTGATTCCCACTTAGAAACGTATGCAGGCTCCAGTTTAGGATTATTGATTAGTAACTATAGCAGTTGTTTATGCATTTGCAGCTGTTTCGTTTAGTAACATTTCTACTGGATTATGTAACATGTTCAGGTCCAAACTTGAAGAACTTCATGGGTGTTGGCTTGGTTGAATTCAGATTTTGCAAACTCAAATTCACGATGTTTTTGGGCGAATCGAAAATTCTTGTTCCCTTTTGATCCAATGTAATTTAGAAACAGTTGTTTTTTTATGGCTACACTTCTGGGAACATCACATATGTTCAAGTGTAACATTCATATATGAATTAAGATGATGGATTATGTCTTTCTATTAAGAACTAGAAGGTGTTTTGTGAATTGCTTTCATACCAAAATGAAGTTAACAAGTGGGGTTTATATCTAATCTTTGATTGATGGCACACCTAACCATTTAATAGCAATAGTGAGGGAACGTGTATTGTACGCAGTGTTACCTTTACTTTGCAAAGAAGTTGTTTTCACAATTCGAACATGTGACCTTTGGGTCATAAAGGAGCTAGTTTTCCGTTGTGCCAAGGCTTTCCCTCACCTAACCATTTATTAATTTGACGAAATTTTTTTCTAGCTTTACTAATTCGTTGACAAACCTTGATATTGATTGGCTTTGGAATTAATGTCGGATTTGAACATATCCTTTTTGCTTGCTGGTGTAATTAATTTGTTACTGATTAGTAGGTCTAGTTGCTTCTTCTATTAGGTCTACCTTGTAAAAATATTTGGTTTGCACAAAAAATATAGTAGGAAAGTGATTTCCGCACTCAGTTTCTAACCTTGCAAACACGAGCGTGAAAAATCATTGCCCAAAAAGTAAGCTTCCTCTCTCTCACACGCATACTTGCAAACACAAAAACATGGTTAAAGAGTAAAGAGAATAACAGCTGCTGACGAGCATTCATTGATTCACACTAGAAGTGGAACTACCAAATAAAAACAGCAAAACATAGATTTATTTATGTAACTACTTTATTCGAAGCTAGAGAAGCAGCAGTCTCTCAAGATTCTAGCTCTCTCAAACTGAATAGACAGAAGAAGAAACACACACATACAACTAGTCGACGGATACAGAATCATGACCTAGCGCGCTCATTCAAATCAAAGCTCATTGCCAAACGAATTCAGGGAGTTGGAGCACCTGTAGGGCTCCCGCCACCATTCCCGGGGGTTGGAGCGTATGTGTCATCACCGCCTGGAACATAGTCGTCACTACTAGGGCTTCCCCCACTTCCACCAGTGCTGCCGGTGATAGGGGGTGGAGCATAAGGTGAAACATTATACAGTGGTGGTAGCATCACACGCCCAATGCCGGGAATGACAAAACTTCTGTCATGGTCATGAAACCACTGAGGTTGTTTCTTGTCATCTTTGTTGGAGGTTGTCCGGACATTTCGCCCGGAAACTGCTCCCCCTACTAGGGCAAGAAGGATAACGGAAATGGAGATGAGAGTGGGCACCGAAGAGCGGGTTTTGTAAGCCATTATCGGAGCAATGCTGCAGAAACCGAGGAGAGAGAAATGAGAGAGAAGGGTAGGTCTTGCTGCAGTTAGCTTGGTGATTTGGAATCTAGAAAGAAGGGCTCTTCTTATAGCTGAGGATTTTTAGCAAGTTGGGTGAACTGTTGGCGGTGAGTTAATTGCCAGAGTTTCTAGGCGAAGCCATGGATGGAGAGGAGGTATACAAATGTATACGTGCATGGAGAGAGAAGTGATGAGTAGGATTTTTCTTAGGTCGATAATTTTGATGCACTTAAAGGACTGTGGGGTCTTGCAAAAATTCCAGAAAACAACATTTAGATACCCTTCCTTATTATATTTAACAGGTGCGCTCAGTACTTCAGAGAAATTTTTAGGGCATATGTCTACTTAACAGAAATCGAAGAATAAAATAACTTTAAAATAGAGGAAGAGAGGAACAGAAATCAAATAAATTATTTAAATCCTGAACTTTAGATATTTGATTGCGGATTTGATGAGGAAACCCACACTTTTTCAATTTCTTGTTTTATTAACAAGGGAAAAAAACTAAGGAGTAAAATAATTCTCGAACTAATATTCTAATAAACTTGAAAATTTAAAATGATTATAATTCTTAAGAATGTGATCCGCTTAAAAGTTAATGAATAGTGATTGCAAAGACCTCGGGGGTCTTTTCTTGGTTACCAGACCAGCAACTCCTGCGGCCATTAATCATGTGTAGATCCGTCTCTTTCCTCTGTGAATGTGAATCAAAGAGCCTGCAATTTAAGGTTTCATCTTTATTTTTGCAGAACTACCCTTTTTTTCTTCTTTCTGGTTTGTTCCTTTTCTTTTCTTCACTGGCAAGGTATTTAGTGGGGTCATTTTCCACTTTGCAATTTCCCGTCTACTCCCTTATTATTGTTGTATCAGTTATTTGCCATAGAAAAATTTTTATAACTATCACCTGTATGTTAGGTATTGCTGCAAAAACACGCCACTTAATTGGAAAATTGAGTAATCTGTCACCTCAATTTTGATGTTGTAATTGCCACTTATGACCAGCTTCGTCTATTTTTTCATCTGTAAGGTTGCATGTGCATCTCAAACTTGACATGGATTGATATTTCAGACTTCAAAATACCTTTTAAAGCGTTGCTTGTAAATCATGGGACGCAGAAGTAGATGGAGTTAGACTATAGGTGATATATTTGAACATCATTTTGATTGAATTGGCATATTGCTTCCATTATTTTGTAGGTGACAAAAGCTGCAACAATGCCTAAGGTTTCGAGTGACATTAAATTAAAAGTTCACAGAAAGGAAAGAGGTGGTGTTTTTACCAGTTGCCCTCGACCACTTATCTTTAGCAAGGTGTTTATTTCACAATTTAAATGCACATTATCTGAAAATGGTTGCCTGATTACCTAAAACAATAGTATGGCTTTATTCAAGATGTGCATCTTGATCCAGGGAGCAGTGGGTTTGGACAGTTCAACAGCTGAATCTTACAATGCATCAACTGTTGCGTACATGATGCTGCGGGATCCTTTACACCGTCGGATATGATCATTTAATTAGAAACATTTATACGTAGACGTTCGGCTGAGTAATGTATTGCATACATTTACAGAAGACACGTAGAACATTAAAATCTAGGCTGCATCTACATCTGATCTGAACTAAAGAACGTACAGAACACTTGGAAACACAGAGACAGTTATATTTGCCTTAGTTGCCTGATAAGAACAGTTTCCTTGCTTTTTGTGCCTGCTACAACAAATGCTGAGGAAATGGAAACCCAGAAAGATTTATCATTCTTTTGGATTTTAATGAGGCAAAAAAATCCCATAATACAACAAAGCTAGCCGGTTTCGTTTATATTTGAATCACAATTTCTAAGGCCTTTCCTCGGAAAATCTAGGAAGTTGAACAAGGGAGTTCACGCGCGTCACGCCTTCCAAACCCGACCAGTTCTGATCTTCAGCTGCCACTGTTTCTTCATTCCCTTCAATCTCAACCGGTAGTCGACCATAAGTATCACTTTCATCAGATGATCTGACAGTGAAATTCCTCTGCAAAGATGGCTCGGACTTCTGGCCATCATCCGATTCAGCTGCATTGCCAGAGTGATTGCTTTGAATGGTTGCAGATGAAAAACCTTGTTCCTCGTAATCAGATTCTGAATCCATTTTCCCATCCAAAAACAAGCAAACAACTGCACAGTCATCCATCTTCGAAGTTGGGTATTTGAGTTTCCATTCACGAGCAGCTGAGTCCACCACAGTCCTTGCAGCCGATGCCCGGCTTGGGGCTGAGGATACTATCTCAACAACCTCTTCATTGCTTAAGACATCCCAGACCTGTAATGTTACAAGTTAAACGTCTTTGAGAGAAGTTATATTAAGAAAGACATAACAAGGTTAACAATTACGTGCAAAGCAGGACACGAATAAGCAGAGCAGTACTCATTGACATGCAGCAATCATTTAAATGTCAATTATGTTATCTCCAGCTTGCCTAGGTTCCCTGAGCTAGCAGGGAATCAGGACAGCTACAAGCAATGCAGTCCTCATAGGTTGGAAACACTTCACATATATCGACACCTTCTCGTGTACAGTAAAGTAGCAAGAACATGCTAGACGTGAGCACTCTTTTCTCACTCACGTTTTAAGAATCAAGATGCCTAAGACTTTCTTACTGGATTTTTACATCTCATGTTATCTATCGACAATTCCCTGATCATGCTTAAAATGCTACATGTTTGTAATTCTATCACTTCACGGTTGGTTCCTGGAAGCCATTTCAAGCACAAATGGATATTCCTCGTTGTATGATTCCTATGTGATTTTCTAGTTTTCTTTGCAGCTTATAAGGAGGTCCATAGGCCATTACTAAAGCCAGTATTTTCACATTGAAATAATCTACAAACATCGAACCAAAAAGAACAAAAGTAGTGAAAGAAACTGTAGAGAATATAGGAGGATATAATATAAGACGAAATTTTTACCCCATCAGAAGCGAGAACAATGAACTGATCTCTGTCAGTAAGTATCCGGTGTGAGAACTCAGGTATTGAGATCACTCCATACTCCTTTAAACAGAAATCACCGAAGGCTCGAGCCATTGCTAAGCCTGGGGCATCATCAAAAGGCAACCATACTCGAGACACTTCGGGCTCATCTTGCAAAGCAAACACCCTACCCTTGCATCGTTTGATCCTTTCAGCTTCCCCTACGAAATTTTACATAACACCAACAAAGTTAGGTTCAAAACAAGCAGGCAGACAAAACATAGATGAGGAGAAATATATATGGTTCATACTTGGAAGATCGGGCTTTAAATCAACAGTCAACTGGATTGCCACCATTGAATCACTACTGTCCTTTGATCCCAGGATTGCTCGAGAATCCCCAATATAACCCATGAAAAGATTTGACCCCTGCAAAGTGAAGCAATCAAGAACAAAGCAAACGAAATGGGAAAACTTAAGAGTGCAGAAGCTGTTTGCTGCCGTACCTGTTTGACTAGAGTGACAGCAGTGCTACCACTGCAGAAGCAATCCAAATTCGGATGCGACCTCAGCTCCTTGTCCATGGATTTATATGACTTCAGGAAGGCGTCTCTCCATGATAAATTCAATTTTTCTTCAGCCGAACCATCCTTCTCAGTATCTCCACCATCTGACTTCTTCACGCTCCCTTTGAAACATGTTTTACTGGACCCTTTTAACCTCGATTGATATGAATACAAGAAGGATAGCAGCTTCACAGGCAATGCATCCCTTACTTTACGTGCAACAAGATGGCCATGCGGACCATGGCCATCAAAAACACCACAAAAGATCGCATCATCGGACATGAAATCCTTCAAAAGATTACAAAATCAAGAGTTCAGAAATTACCTACCAACATGTTCAATTAGTATTTCGATTGCAGAGTAGAAACACTTACTTCCCACACAACCATGGCATCCTGGTTTATGCCTTTGCGGCCCTGCTGTGTGAATATGCAAGAAGTCTGACTCTTTCCGTTGGTAAAAATGCGGTTGGGTAAGGTGTGTAAGTTCTGAAGAGTATAGGAATGGTCAGAGAATGTCTTCTTCGTTCTCTTTTGGCCACAAAATCCAATCCCCAGGCCTGTCTGCGCAACTCTCTCTCCATTGCTCCTGCTACTAAGAGTACTCCGACTACTAGTCGAAACACAACCCCCCATTTCCTCAGCTCAACAAACAAAACATCTAACTTAACAAGGGATAAGTCCTACTTTTGCCAACCAGATCTCACACGAAATTCTGGAATTCACCACAAATGGTCAACCGAGCAAATGACTATCCAAGTACCAAAGATTCCCACACATCCAAACCACCAGCCACTTTACAAGCCCATGTAGAAAAATGAGGTCACTTTATCTTGGTGAAATGAAATCCGTGGATGTATCACGAATCAATGATAAAACCAGCTGAGGCGAACGAGAAGACATTAGTTAATTACTTGTCTAATCTCTGGCAACACAGAATGCAAAAATGGCAGCATGTAAAGAACTAACCAAATCAAACAAGATGTATTAAAAAAACACAATTCCATGTGAAACAAGGAATAGAATATACTTAGAAAGGCTGTCCTCTCCTGATCCTATTGCACTTCGTGAGGAATCACACTGATAATAACCAAGTGGTAGGATTTTGAGCAAATTGATTCATATAAAATAGATGGCAAAGACCAGTAGATTATAATATAAATTAGATTAGAATATCGCTTGATAAAAACAGAGGTTAACGGAGACAGAAAAACGGAGAAATGGCACCACAAGAACACGAAATTTTCCCAGTATTCGGCCAACTATGAGATTCAGACCCCAAAATAAAAACGCACCACGTAAAATCGGATAGATGGAAACCAAGAAATGCACCATACAACACAAAAATACCCTGTATTCAGCCAGCTATGCGATTCGGACTCATCAAAATTCAATAATATAAGTAAAATAAACATATGTCGCCTAAAAGATTCTTAACAAAACAGAACTGCACAGAGATGCAAAAAACCAGAAGAACAATGAGACTATCGAAAATCTTACCTCAATTATATGTGCCCACAAACATATGAAGAAACAATCAAGCTTATCTGACTTGAATTGGATACTTATTAAGCAAACCAGAACGAGATATTCTTGACAACTTGGAATTTTTTAGTATATTTTAAATTTTCCTCCACTTTCACAGCAACCAAACAAAGCTGTTTCGGATGGAGGGAGGGAGGGAGAGAGAGAGAGAGAGAGAGGTAAAGGGAACAATGAAATTGGTACGAACTGTTGTTTTCCCAATAGAGAGAAATCCGAGAGAGAGAAAGCAAATTTCAAAAAAGCAGGAAAAAGACGAGGAGGAATGATCTTTTGCCAAGTAACATCATCAAGCAAACAAGCAAACAAACAAACAAAAGCATACACAGGGTTAATCCTTGTTTGGTTCCTGAGAAAATATCAAGGAAAGTCCTAAAACTTTTGAGCAGAAGAGATCACTCAAATATTACATGATTATTAAAAAGGGGCAAACAGGGCAGTAAAACCGAAATCACAAACAACCATCAAAATCCAATGTTATGTTTAGTTTTCTATGAGAATGCAGTGGGAGTTTCAGTCTTTTACAAAATCAAGCAGCAAAAATATGAAATTTAAGATGTTTAACTCTCTCTCTACCTCTCTCTCCCCCTGAATTTTTACCCAGCAGAAATCAAAACTCAAAAGAGATATTAAAGTAAATGGATTGGAGTGCAGAGAGAGAGAGAAGTTGTACATGCAGATCTTTGATTGCTCTGTGATTATTACCCCATATCACTCAAGTTTCAATTCAAACAAACAAAAAAAAGCACAAATAAAGAACAACGTTATTGGTCAGAGACAAATGGAAAGCAACTTGTTTAGTGATGAAACAAACAAACCATCCAAAATTAGAAGTAAAATTGGAGTGTGTGAGAAAATTTAAGGAAAGGGTGGTAAGTTTTTTACCTTATTGTTGAATTTTGCCTGCCAAGATTGGAGCTTTGGGATCAGAGTGAAGAAAACCAGAGCAGAGCAGAACAGAAGGAAATAAAGCGAGAGAGAGAGAGTTGATTACTAATATGGTGGGAGACTGGAGGGAGCCCAAGGGAAGGCGGTGCATTAATTGCAAAAGCAGGGCAGAACAGAAAGGGGAAAGAGAGAGAGAGAGAAGGAAGTTTACTGTGGAGTAGCCGTGCACTCCCGACTGAAACGATGATTGAAATCAATCTCATGATGCAACTTCCACTGTTCATTACACTTTCCTCATAGCGCGTCCAATCATCTTTATCCCCATTTTCTTTTCAGTTCTTTCCTTTTTCTTTTTATTCTTCCCACCTAAGACCAACTTCAATGATAGATTAAAAATCAAATTACTTTTCAAAATTTCCCTCTAAATCCACTCCAACCCAAAGAGAAAATTTGGGCTAAATGCTAAACCAAGGCCAAATTCCCCCCAAAATTTAGCCCGGAAATCGGAGTGGACTCTATCCAATATTTATCAGAATTTAAATTTTTTTAGATCAAAATGTTTGTAAAATTAATTTTCGATAGTCTACATATTTATTTAAAAAAAATTAATTTAACAAAAAAAATAGCCTAAATTCATTCTTTAATAATCTTAGGCTAAAATTTTAGACTATAACGGTTGGAGCAAAAAAGTTGTTTATGTGCTAAAAGATAAATTTTCCGGACTAAAATATTTGGCTTTTAACCCAACCATTGAAGATTGTCTAAAAGGCTAAAAAATTGAAATATGAAAATCTCTTTTTATGATGCACAATTTGTTACTTCAAAAGGAAAAATGAAATTCCAATTTTTATGCTTGTTATAAGTCTTCAACAAAAAAAATGCTTGTAAGTTGTAAGAAATCAAAATAAGTTAAAATTTTAACTAAAATGTAAATGATGAAAACTACAATGTTATAATGTATCATTGAACCCTGATTTATATATAACTTATTTTTCTTAACTTAGTATCCCTTCAATTATATTTTGATTGAAAGTTATAGTCAAAATATTAAAATTTTGTAATCATCATAATCATGATTAGAATACGTTCAAACCTAGAGGAAAAAAAATCCCGATTAAAGGAAAAAGAGAAATCTCCCGTACCTTTGATACTTTGGCTTTGAGTCGATAACAACCCTAACCTTTTAAGTTTTTTGGGGCAATTGGTTCGAATGCGCCATTGTGGTGTGCTTTATTTAGCTACAGTGTCTATTTCGTGGTTGACCCTAGTGGCAGCTCTTAATCACAACAAGTGGTGTTCTTTGTCTGTGGTTTTTGTTTTGGTTAGCCCATTTTTGCCTTCTTTGTAAGAATTCTAGAAACTCTGCATGAGTTTATTGTGTTTTGTAGTCTCGCTACGTGCAAGTTATTTTAAGGGTGTTTTTCTTATTTGTTGTGTTATGTCAATTTGTAGAATAAATTTGTATTAGCAGTAAGTATATTTTGGTGATTAAATCAAATGTTTTATCTTTTGTTAGTTAACTTTGTGCTCTTATTTGTCTCAAATGTTATGTTATATTGTATTGTTTTCAAAACTTGGACCTGGTTATTGGTTAATCGTTCTCATCCAGTTCATAAGCATGTTTACTAACGGTAAAAAACATGAAAAATATCACAAAAATACATTTATTTTTAGATGTTATTTTTATGGGAGGATGATTCTTTTGTCTCTCGCTTCTCTTCTTCTCATCCCTTCTTTTTAATTTAAACGGTTAGAAAGAAAAAAAAAATCTAATGACTTAAAATTGTGCTTCATATTTAATGATCCTTATTTTATTGCTTCTAATGCTTTTGGTCAAATCCAATTGAATCCACAAACTACGATCAAAATTTTCCATCAGATTGAATCCGAGTCAACCTCTGAGCTTCTGAGCAAATCACACAGACTGTTAGATTTTGATTCAACGGTTATAAACAAAGAGCATCTCTAAAAATTATAATAATTATAGTCATTAGATTAAAATCCAACGACCTGTGTGATTTGTTCAGAAAGCTCAGGAGAGGATTCAAATCCCATCAAATGTACCATGAGTAGCGTGTGGAAGAGGAGGAGAGAAAGTGGTGATGTGAATGAAAAAGGATTCTCGATGTATCCTTTTCTTGGAAATCTTGGGAATTTCATGATCGTGTTTGTTCATCATACATCGTGTAGTCAATTTTTGTTAAGTACTATTTATATTTAATTTTAAATTTTAAATGATTTCTGACTGAACTGATGTACGATGAATGGACACAATCACGGGATTCTCAAAATCCTCAGGAAAATGATCCGACAAGGATCCTTTTCCGATGTGAATAATGGTGGAGAAGATGAAAGATTTTCGAACAAAAACCATATAGAAAAAAAAAATTAACTAAAATAGTCTATGAATTGGCATAATTCATTATTTTGATCCCTAATAATGAATTTTGATAGAAGTGATCTGAAGTTTATCTATCGTAAATTATGGGTCATTCCATAAAAAAAAACCTGTCAATATCCTCGTTAAGTGGATAAGTTGGTTTGGTAAAAATATGCTTAAAAAGATGGATCCAGTGATTGTTCACATAACAATTTAACAAGAATATTAATAGATTTTTTATGGAATGATCAAAATGATTTACAGTAAACAAACTCAAACATCATTTCTACCGATTTTTATTGTTCGAGATCAAAATAAAACATTACATCAATATTTCAACTAAAAACTTTTAAAAAATAGAACTCATTAAATATGGATACAACTCTAAGTTATTAAATTTCTTTTTGAATGGTAAAAAAAAAAAATACAAAGGGAGAGATATAAGAAGAAGAGAATCCAGTCCATTATTACGGAGTGAAGACTGAAAGAGTGTGAACCTGGAACTGGTGTTACTGTTCGAAGTTGAAAAGACAGAAAGGCACCCACCAAACTGACACAAACTCGGGACACGTGCCGTGGCCGAATGTCCCACCCTCAAAGTAACGACGACGTAAACAAAATTTGCCAGTTTGCCCAACTTTCCTCCCTCCCTCTCTCCTCACTCTGTCCTTCGGTTCTCCCCATCAACTACAAACCCTACACACACACTCTCCTCCCCGTCCGTGCTAGCTTTCTTGTCCGCCTCATTTTCCTTTTTCCCTTCCTCTTTCGCTTCCTATATATTTTATTTTGGACAGAGATCCCCGGATCTTTCCTACCAGATTCTAAGATTAAAGATTTGGACTTTTGAAATTTGATACAACAGTTATAATTATTATCACTTTTAGAAGGGTCCATTGATTATAACCGTTGGATCAAATTTCAAGAATCCAGATCTCCGTCCTTTTATTTATATCAAAATAAAAGGACAGAGATCTGGTTGAGATCTCTGTCCTTTTATTTTGATATAAATATCAAGTTTAAAGTGTTGTGATTTAAATGCTGAGCCTAATGGCGTATGTTGTAACTAGTTGTATGATGAAGTTGAATCTGACTCTAGACGCATAGACACATTCTACTTGTTCCATTATGAATCGATCACAAGTATGATGATTTAAATGAAGAGAGGGAAGGGAAAAAGAAAAGGAGATGGGGATAAGCTAACAACTAAGCTACGGTTGGCAATGACAATTTTGGCAAAAATGAAAGCAACCCTACTTAAAACTTTTAAAAGCGTGGGGATTTAAGATTTCCTTCTAAGAACACAAATCATGGCATAAGATTAGGCTTTAACCAAACTTGTCTGTTACTTAAACTCCTTATGCAGCTGTCTCAATATGATGTTGAAGAGAAGATGAGCATAATTTTTTTTTGAAAATGATGGTACATATAACATAAAGCATCATTGATCATTGTCGTAAATAGTGAGTTTTGGATGAACATGAATTAGAGAAATTCGGTTGTCACTTGAAAAAGTTCATCTGCATTGGCTCTAGAAAAAGCTTGTTCACTTGTAAAAATTCTTTGGAGTTGTCACATATGAAAAAATAAAAATAAAAATCCTAAAACATGAATCTACCCTCTTTGTTTATTTATCTCTCATCACGTGTTTTTTTGTCTCATAAGAAGAAGAAAACATAGAAACATAAGATAAATATACTTCTGTGACATGCAAGTTCACTACGTCGCATAAGACAACTCTTTCCCGCTATGATGATTGCTCTTGCATTTCTTCCATAAGACCCAATGGACCTCTGTGTATAGTTGCCCTACCTAAGACCATCTTCAACCGAATAGTTCAGAGGGCCAGAGGGCCGAAAATAGCCTGAAAACCGTCTCCAACTGAGGGCCAGGCCAAAAGGCTAATGGAATCTGAGAGGGTCCCACGGAATCTGAAAGGGCTGGCTGCATGACTGGCAAGAAAAATCATTATTCATGTCGGTTATAACCAACAAGAATCCTTAAGCTAAAATTCAAATGCAACAGCTAGCTGACGTCAGCTTGCGATTGCATTTGAATTTTTTTTTTTTTTAATAGGTTTTTTGGGCCTTTTTTTTTTCTTTTTAATTCTTTTTAATTCTAATTTTTTTTCCTATAAATACGTAAACCATTCATTCACCATTCCTTTAAATTTAATTTGTAGTTTTTAAATTTAATTCGTCGTTTTTAAATTTAAGTTGTTGTTGAATTTGAATTTAAGTTGTTGTAGTTTTTAAATTTAAATAATAAATTATGTTTGGCCCTTTGGGTCTCGGTTGGATACGGTTTTTTATAATAAGGGTAAAACGAGCCCTATGGCCCTCGATTGGAGACGGAGGCAAATATAATCTTGTACTGTTCATTAAAATATTAATATATTAGAGGGCCAGAGGGCTAAAACGAGCCCTCTAGCCAACTCTCGGTTGGAGACGGCCTAAGAACTTCTTGTTCTCCTTGTGCTTTGTTCACATGTTATCCATTTGAGATAGTACTGCAACCCTACAATTCAGTTTCAAACTTAAACCCTAATCTATAACCACAAATCTTGTAGTTGTATACATCTAGCCTGCAAGTTGCAAGGTGAGGTTTGTGAGCCTGACCCAATTAAATTGTGTTCCCCTTCGTTGTGAATAGCAAGGCTGGAACAGTACTAAACCAGATCATGTGGAACTGGAAATGATAACGAAGGGCAGGCAACCCAGCTCAAAAGGAATAGGCCTTTTACATTCCTTTATAATTTCTTTACAAAAATAATTGCAAATGGATATCAAATATTGAGTGGTATTAAAATTACAGATGCATACAAAATCATATATATAATCATATTTCATTTTACCAAAACAATACACAATTTCGTCTAAAAAATAACACATAATTTTGTGAGATGGTCACTGTTGACGTATGTATACATAT